GATGGTCAGCACAGTCAAAAATGGTCGGCACAGTCAAAGGAGGTCAACACAGATGAGGATGGTCAGTACAAGTATTACTCCTTCCCACCTAAAACAAAGGAAGCTGTCCTAACCCTAAACCAGTGTTTCTCATTAGTAATGGATTGGATGAGAGCAAACAAATTGAAAGAAGACAGAAGTGCTCCTAGTCCTTCATCACACTAGGAGGCCCCCTGTAGTGGGTTTAACCCTTGTGCTGGCAGGACTGATGACCAACAGGTTGGAGGTTAGAATCTGGGAAGAGCGCGGATAAGCTCTCTGTGCTGGCTCCAGCTCCCCATGTGGGGACATGAGAGAAGCCTCCCACAAGGATGGTAAAGCATCAAAACATCCTGGCATCCCTGGGCAACGTTCTTGAAGACGGCCAATTCTCCCACACCAGACTTGTAGTTTCTCAAGTTGCTCCTGACATGAAAAATATCACACCAGAGAATGAAACCATATTAAATACAGTTTCTGCCTCGTGCAGAATTCTGGGGTTTGTAGTTTAGTGAGGCTCCCTAAACTACAAACTCCAGAATTCTGCAGGAGGCAGCAACCGGATTTAAAGTGGATTTATTCTCTAGTGTGATGAGGTCTCTGGTCAGTCAGGAGGCAGATCAAGAAATAAGAATTCAGCCTGTGCTGGATGGGTTACACTCCTCTTGAAGACACAGGCCCACAGTTTGGTGGTACTCCTGGACTCAGTATTGAACCTGGAGTCCCAGATTTTGGCAGTGTCCAAGAGTGTTTTTGCACATTGAAAACTTGTGCATCAACTGTACCCGTTTCTTGAGACGTCTGAACTGGTGCATACCTTAGTTACATCTTATTTGAATTACCATCATTTTGATTACTATGTGGAGCTGCATCTGAAGAGCAGTCCGATACACCAGCTGGTCCAAAGAGATGTGGCTGGATTGCTAACTGGGGCTAGCTACAGGGAGTGCAACTCTTAGTTGCAACAGCTCCATTGGCTGCTAGTCTGTTTCAGGTCACAATTCAAATGTCTGGTTATGACTTATACAGTTCTATATGGTTTAGACTCAGGCTATTTGACAGATCATATCTCTTGGTACAAATCTACCCAGGCTTTAAGATCCTTCTCTCAGTCCCACCACCACTGCAGGCTCAGTGGCTGCCTCTCCTCTCTGGAATTCCCTGCCCATGGAAGCTGGAATGGCCCTTTCCCTTACATTGAGACCTTTCTTTTCAGACAGGCTTTGGAAATAGAAAAAAAAAAGACCAAGTAAAGGGGTGCTGTGTGATGTTTTTATGTGCTTTGAATTGTTTTGATTGTTATAACTGTTAATTTTTAATACTTCCAATGTTTTATCCTATTTTAATGTCTGTATCTGCTAATTTTTAATTGACACACTGTTATATATTTATTGTCAGCTGCTTTGAGACTCCTTTGGCAGAGAAAAAAAAGTATAAATACATCTGCATCATTGGGTTGTGGTAGGTTTTTCGGGTTGTATGGCCATGTTCTGGAAGCATTCTCTCCTGACATTTCATCTGCATCTATGGCAGGCATCCTCAGAGGTTGTGAGGTCTTTTGGAAACTAGGAAAATTGGGTTTATATATCTGTGGAAAGTCCAGGGTGGGAGACCTCACAACCTCTGAGCATGCCTGCCATAGATGCAGACGAAACATCAGGAGAGAATGCTTCTAGAACATGGCCATACAGCCTGAAAAACCTACAACAACCCAGTGATTCAGGCCATGAAAGCCTTTGACAATACATCTTCATCATTATCATTTTTCCAATACCAGATTCAGGATCCATGCCAACTAACCCCCCCCCCCCCCAATAATATGACAATGGTAACAATCAGTTACAATCCACAGGTGAGTGACCTGGTTGCAAGTCAGAAGGCAACTGTTGGGATGAGGCTCCCGGCAGCTGCCTTTATACTCCATTCTCCATTCTCAGAGTGGAGACCAGATCTGGTTGGTATAACAAGTGAATGAGTTTGAACCACTGGGTTCAAACCCATTGGCCGCTGCTCTTAGCTCCTCCTTCCATTCTCCCCAAACACGGAACATGCTTGGAGAGGGAGAGCTGGCACTGCAGAAAATGGCAGCCCTAGCTAAGTTGTCTATTCATTCTTCAACCTTCTGTGCTGATAAGGTTATTTTCTTCAGAGCCATTTAAGTGAGTAAAATTTAAAACAGAAATTTAGGACTCTTATTAATGTGTATTGATTTAGAATTGATGTAATGTTTTCATTGATCTGGAGGATTTCAACCTTGGACAACCAGATTCAAACCCTCCAGGTGCTATAAAACATCCTAGTGTTGTTTGGCCAGTCATTTTCTTTCAATCAAACCTACTCCACAGAGCTGTTGCGAACTGGAGTAGGTGAACTGGGAATCTCAGGTGTATACTACTCAATACATAAAATAATAGCAGATCTCCTTTTAGGCTGATATCATTTAAACTGTCAGATTTCTGCCCCTCATTGATAGGAGCATCAGTGGACTAAAGAATTGATTTTGCCATGGTTAAAACTCTGCAAGGCAAAAATCTGAGAATGAGTGAAACCCGCTGAAACAGAAATTATTCACATTCACACTTGTCTTTGTGATATTTTATTCTAGGGGCGTCTCTTGTCCTACCGAGACACCCAAAGACACCGTCTGGGATCCAATTATCTACAAATTCCTGTCAATTGCCCATACCGAACTTGTGTAGCCAATTACCAGAGAGATGGGCAAATGTCTATATATGGCAACCAAGGTAATTGTGGTATCTCTTTTGGAAGTAATTCTTCAATAATGCCCATCTGTGGTCACTGCTGGTCAAGTATGATTGTGTTCCAGGAGTAGAGTCTTGACAGCGAACCTGCAGAAGACTTATTCTGGATCTGTATGGTCTTTCACATTGTGAGCATAGATTTCCAGATAGATGGCAGTCACAACAAGGATTAGCTCAGTGGTTCTCAACCTGGGGTCCCCAGATGTTTTTGGCCTTCAACTCCCAGAAATCCTAACAGCTGGTAAACTGGCTGGGATTTCTGGGAGTTGTAGGCCAAAAACATCTGGGGACCCCAGGTTGAGAACCACTGGATTAGCTGGACCCGCCTTTTTCCTCTTGGCACATTTATCCCTTTTGTCCTCTATTTATACCTGTTCAAAATCCACACTACTGTTGGTAACAGCTGACCTCCAGTTAGAATACTCAAAAGCAAGGGCTTCCCAGTTCTTAATGTTTATGTCACATTTTTAAACGTTAGCTTTAAGCCCATCTTTGACAATGCCGCCAGTCCAGTGAAGTTGATGGCAGTGAATTATGGCTTCAATGTTGGTAGTCTTTGTTTCTTCCAGAATGCTGATGTTTATCCACCTGGCTTCCCAAAACATTTGCAGAATTTTTCAAAGGCAATGCTGATGGAGTCTTTCCAGAAACTGAAAGTGATGTTTGTAGATGGTCCATGTTTTGCAAACATACAACAGAGTTTGAAAGGCAATAGCTTTACAAACAAATATCTTGGGGCCCATCCAGACAGGCCCATATGCTGGGACCTGTCTGGGTTTTTACCAGAGGTGTCCAAACACCACCACCAGTAAAATAAATTAATTTGGAATAAACCAGGGTTTCCCAGGTTTATTCTGAATTAAATAAATACCTGGTTAGATTTGGATCTTAAGGTAACATCCAGATCTTACCATGTGTGGGCTCTGTGTGGATTGAATCCAGGAACTCTGTCACATGATTCCTGGGCCCAATCCACACAGCCATCCTGGTGTTTTGGGCTCCTGGAGCCTGAAAGACTAAGAGGGCACCCATCACCTCCCCCAAATCCCAATTTTTCCCTAAAAATTAAATAAGCCATACCTGGCGACCATAACATTTCTCCTTGTGCCCTCCTGGCATGAGCAAATGATGTGCCAGGAGATGGGGAAGGAGGAGGGCCAAGGAGCAAAGTTATGGAGGCCAGGTATGTTTTATTTAACTTTTAGGGGGAAATTTGAGGGGGCTTTGGGGCAGCTGCATGTCATCAGGATGACATGCAGCCACACCCTCCACCAGAAAATCCTGGGCTTTTTAGGTGGAGTGGGGACAGGAATCCACACTAAAGCGGATTTTGGGCTTGTCGGGAAGAGCCCTCAGTATCCCTATGAATGTCCCAGTCCTTGAACACTCTCTGCTTCATCTGAAAAGAAAATGGCTGCACATTTTTCAGACGGTGTTCCATTTCGGCATCAATGTTGACTTTTGTGGAGAGATGGCTGCCCAGGTAGCAGAAATGGTGAACATTTTCTAGCATTACACAATTAAGCTGTATTGCTGGCATTGCAGAGAGTTTGGTTTGTGTCTGCTGGTAGAGCACTTTCCTTTTTTCTATATTAAGTGAAAGGCCATTATTTGCTTCTTCTGAAAAGCACAGACTATGTTATCACAAACATATTGGAGTTCTATATAGAATAACTTGCTACCCTACTTTTGGCTTTCACCCTGCTAAAGAGCTTGCCATCTGTCTAATTGCGTATATTATATCTGGCTACCAAGGTAATTGTGGTATCTCTTTTATAAGTAATCTATATAAATAAAAATGTAATGTTCATTTGTGGGATTAACATAACTCAAAAACCACTGGATGAATTTACACCAAATTTGGACACAATACACGTATCAGGCCAATGAGTGGCTATCACTCATAAAAACACTGAAAAACACAGCAGAAGAGACTTAAAAAGCAAAAATAAATTATTACAATGCATATGCAAAACCACATATATAAATGCAAACACACATATATACACATATACACAAATATATACAGACCCATATACACACACAAAACATATACACAGACTGGGCCACAGCAATGCATGGCAGGGGACAGCTAGTCCTTTAATAATGCATATTAACATCAGGAAGAGCTTTCAGAAGGGACTGTTAGATTCTCTTGGTTGAAAGATTTTTAGTCTCTTACTGCTGAAAATATTTTCACACAAAGATCCTTTCAAGTGAAGAAGATGGCAAAACTATTTAAGACCTTCTCCAGTAAAGTTATTTTATAATTATAATTGTAAAATAAATATTTTTTCCTCCTAGGTGGTGCTCCAAACTATTATCCAAACAGTTTTAGTGGCCCTGAAGACCAGCCCTGTTTGCAGGAATCCTGTGAAAATACCTCAGGTGACATACAGCGCTTCAATGATGACAATGAGGACAATGTATCTCAGGTAAGAAGAAGTGATGTATATGCATATATACTCAAAGATAAGCCGAGTTTTTCAGACCTTTTTAGGGGCTGAAAAATTCTCCCTCGGCTTATAATGAGGTCAAGCTGGGCAGAGGAGCCTACGGGCCATTGCTTGCAATATATGATGTATTTCTCTTTCATCTTTCCCACCCTAAACAGTGTGTTTTCTTTTCTGCTTCTACCCTGCTTCTCCTCCCAGGCTGGAATGTTTTGAAAAGGGAAAGGAAGGGGATAGAAGCCCTTGCAAGTCAGGAATATTCATTAATCTTATAAAAGCATTTTCCCCTTAAATATTTGTCAATCTCTACTACAGATATATAAGCATTTCCCCCTTCAAGCCTTTGCCATCCCTATTTACCTATATATCTGAATCTATCTATGTACATTAATTTTTATATGAGTTTCCCCTTATTTGTTTGCAGGTCTTTGCAAATCCTATATACATATAGGTATCTATATGTATACATTATGTTTATAAATGAATTTTCCCCTCATATGTTTGCAAGTCTCTGCAAATCAGATATAGATATTGCTAAATATATAGAGGTACCTATATATGTGTATATATAAATAATTTTAAATATGAATTTTCTGCCTCATATGTTTGCAAATCTTTGCAAATCCTATATAGATATATTATCTATATATAGAGAGATGTCTACATGGATATATATGAATATAGATATATAATATTTCAGGGGGGAAATGCACACACAAATATATATAGATATGTCTAGATAGATATGAATAGAGATATTGATTTTGGATGGTATGATTTTAATAACTAGTTTTAAATCATGTTGTTATGGGTGGGTAAAATGTTATTGTATTATTGATGTTTAATTTTTATGCTTTATGTCTAAATGCTATTTTATGTTTAATGTTTTAATTTGGTTAGGTTCTTAATTTATAGTTATGTTATAGTCTAGTTATTATGTTTTGGTTTTCACATGTATGTATGGCAGGGGTCCCCAAACTACGGCCCGCGGGGCGCATGCGGCCCGCCAAGGGCCTTTATCCGGCCCGCGCGGCCTGTCCTGGCCTATCCAAAGCCCCTCGCCGCGCAGCCCGTCCAAAGCCCCTCGCCGCTGTCAATGGCATCTGCTCTGCTGCGCTTCTCCCTCCACACAGGATGGAGAAGCCTGTGGAGGGAAAAGCGCTCTCTGCTCTCCCGCGGAGAACAGAGAGAGAAGCAGAGCGGACGCCATTCCTCTGTAACAGAAAATCCCTGGTGGCGAGGAAGGCGTCCGAAAATGGTGGAGGCAGAGCCGGGTGGGCGTGGCCAGGCTTCCGGGCCAGGGAAGCCAGCATCGCTTGGCCACGCCCACCCGGCGCCGCCTCCACCATTCGCGCCACCAGGGATTTTCTGTGGTAGAGCAATGGCATCCGCTCTGCTGCGCTTCTCCCTCCACAGGCTTCTCCATCCCGTGTGGAAGGAGAAGCCTGTGGAGGGAGAAGCGCAGCAGAGCGGACGCCATTCCTCTGTAACAGACGATCCCTGGTGGCAAGGAAGGCGTCCGCAAATGGTGGAGGCGGCGCCGGGTGGGCGTGGCCACATCGCTTGGCCACGCCCCCCCGGCGCCGCCTCCACCATTTGCGGACGCCTTCCTCGCCACCAGGGATCGTCTCTTACAGAGGAATGGCGTCCGCTCTGCTGCGCTCTCTGTTCTCTGCGGGAGAGCAGAGAGCGCTTCTCCCTCCACAGGCTTCTCCATCCTGCGCTGCTCTGGAAAGGTTTGGTCCAATTCTATTGTTGATGAGGTTCAGAATGCTCTGTGATTGTAGGTGAACTATAAATCCCAGCAACTACAACTCCCAAATGTCAAGATTCTATTTCCCCCATACTCCACAAGTGTTCACATTTGGGCATATGGAATATCAGTGCCAAGTTTGGTCCAGATCTATCATTGAGTCCACAGTGATTGATGGAGGCAGGTGAACTACAACTCCAAAACCAAAGGACACTGCCCACCAAACCCTTCCAGTATTTTCTGTTGGTCATGGGAGAACTGTGTGCCAAGTTTGGTTCAATTCCACCTTGGTGGGGTTCAGAATGCTCTTTGATTGTAGGTGAACTATAAATCCCAGCAACTACAACTCCCAAATGTTAAGATTCTATTTTCCCCCAAACTCCACCAGTGTTCACATTTGGGCATATTGAGTATTTGTGCCAAGTTTGATCCCGATCCATCATTGTTTGTGTCCACAATGATCTCTGAATGTAGGTGAACTACAACTCCAAAACCAAAGAACACTGCTCACCAAACCCTTCCACTATTTTCAGTTGGTCGTGGGAGAAATGTGTGCGAAGTTTGGTTCAATTCCATCGTTGGTGGGGTTCAGAATACTCTTTGATTGTAGGTGAACTATAAATCCCAGCAACTACAACTCCCAAATGACAAAATCAATTTTTGTGTGAAGGACATACATTGGGTTGTTAGGTGTCTTGTGTCCAAATTTGGTGTCAATTCGTCCAGTGGTTTTTGAGTTCTGTTAATCCCACAAATGAACATTACATTTTTATTTATATAGAAGTGTGGGTCTTTGTTTTTTGATGGGGGGGGGGGGTTGCACTGCAAATAATATATGTGCAGAGTGCATAGGAATTCATTCATTTTTTTTTCAAATTATAATCCGGCCCCCCAACAGTTTGCGGGACTGCGACCCGGCCCTCTGTTCAAAAAGTTTGGGGACCCCTGATGTATGGCATTGAATTTTTGCCTTTATAATGTTGGAAACTGCTTTGAGTTCCCTAAGGGGGAGAAAAGCAGTACATAAATGCAGATAATAATAATGATAATAAAGACCTTGGCCTGCACTTAAACACAATCGGCGCTGACAAAATTACCATCTGCCAGCTGTAGAAGGCCATTTTACAGGAATCTGCATGCATTATTCGCCGATATATCACACAGTCCTAGATACTTGGGAAGTGTCCGACATGTGATCCAATACAACAGCCAGCAGAGTGTCTGCTGTGGACTCATCTTGCTGTGTTTCTAATAATAATAATAATAATAATAATAATAATAATAATAATGATAATAATATAGATATATGGGGTTGCAAATATTGCAGGGCCAATGTGTGCATGCATGCACACACACATATATAGAGATGTCTAGATAAATATAAACATAGATAAATAGGGATTGCAAATGTCACAAGAGGGAAATGCACATATAGAGAGAGGATTTGCAAACGTTTCAGGGGAAATGCATATGTGAAATTAATATATATAATTATAGATCTATTTCCAGCTCTGCATTGTTTATATAAGCATTGAATCTTAGTCTGTTACCAGGCCCGTAGCCAGGATTTCGTTTCGGGGGGGGGGGGGGCTAAAAAAATTTCAGGGGGGGTTTCGGGGGGGAGTTTCGGGGGGGGGTGAGTCTGAGTGAAAGAGGGTCTAGCCTAGCAAACCTTTTGTATCATTACCCCACCCCATGCATATGGGATATATTGAGTATGGTGATCAGATCATGATATGAATAAAATAACAGTTTAAATAATGCACCAGTAAGGCCTTTTCGCGAACCACCATGAGAATTTCGGGGGGGGGGGGGGTGAAGCCCCCCAAGGCCCCCCCCCCCCGGCTACATGCCTGCCTGTTACTATGTTGGAAGTCAGCCTGAGTCCCCATGGGGAGATAGAGCAAGATACAAATGAAGTATTATTATTATTACTACTACACAAAAACACAGTATGACACAGCAGACTCACTGAATTGGTTTGGTGCCAATAAGGCATTTGGACTCAGCTTGCTGCTGTGCAGTCTAGACAGCCACCAGCTTCCAACCTGACTTCATGGCTTGCTCTGAGGACTGCCCTGGCATTCATCCATTCCTGATCACTCTGCTGTATTTGGGTGTATAGAAGGATCGTTAGAGGGCAAATCTGGCTTGGACATTTCTTCTTGTGCCAAAAGTTTAGAAATTGCTTTTGATAAGGGCACAATGGCTTGTAGGCATGTACTGTAAAATATATGTAGTTTGATATGTGGGCCAGTGCTATAAAAGAAACAACATATCTCAAATGGTAAACCTGAGAGAAATCTTCAAGAATAGTCCTTACACACATTGGTTTATTAAGGGCAGTGATTAATACCTCCAGTGATACAATATGAAGTCCACAGAATCAAGTCTTATTTTAGAAAAATTATAAATGGCTAAATAGCAACAAGATAGGTCTGTAATAGAGGGTTTGCTTTCCATTTTTATTTATAGGTGCGGGTCTTCTATACCAAAGTATTGACAGAAGAAGAACGTGAAAGACTCTGTGAGAACATTGCTCGCCTTCTTAAGGATGCTCAGCTTTTCATTCAGGAGAGAGCTGTAAGTGGTAGATGATTATTTTTCTGTAAAGATTTCTACTGTGAGAATTCTAGAAGGCAGAGGATGCACATGGATTTCAGAATGCATAAAAATATAAAAAATATAAAATGCAAAAGTACAAAGTATGAAAGATAAAAGGTTCAAGCTGTTTCTAAAACATCTTTAAAACACAAGGATCAAATAATAGTGAAAGCCTGAGTTGCAGTAGAATAAACGACAGTAGAGTAAGTAGTATTTCTTTCCACAAAAAAATTAACATCATTTTTCATTATTTCCTACTCTCCCATATAAAATACGGCAAAGTTTCTCTTTTGATATGTGATAACTAGCTAAAGCAATGTGGCCACTAAATCTTTACGTTTCTATTTCCATAATCAGATTAACAGCTCTCCTAAACTTTTTATAGTCATAGAGTTGGTGTTCTATCTGATCTGCCTTTATGTAGGCATGGGTATTAGTTTGTGAGGGATCATTGCTCAACAGTCTTAGCAGCCTCCACGCCTTCTGGCTGCTCCTGCCCATGCCGACTTCTGTTATCAGCTTTATCCACTGTTCTTTCTTGGCTTCAGAGATGGAGGACACAATGCTCTGCGCTGCCTGAAGGGTTTGCTCACTAAATGGTTCTTCGTTGTGGAGCCTGTAATAGTTTTCCAACAAGGCAGCTGTTTCAGGAGTAATGCCCTGAAGGTAGCTGGTTCTGCAGCCTCTCGGTATGGAGGCCCGTGAGCAGGTTTTCACTATTTCAATAAAGTGCTCGTATTCCTCCGGGATTGGCGCAACCGATATGATCGGGTCATCTAAAATGTCTGAGAATTTAGTCCAATCTGCCTTTCTGAAGTTGAATCTTCGTTTAAATCGAACTTCCTGAGGCCTTGTAGTTGGGAACAGTTGGCATACTATTGGTCGGTGCTGTGTGTTTGGAACTGATGGTCCCACTGATTTAGTGCATTGCTGTACAATGCTGTCGCTCACAAATAAGAGGTCTGGGTTATATCAATGTTCAACATTTACACAAATGACCAGTCACTACCTGAAGGGACAGAGAGTTTCATCTATGCTGATGATTGTGCCATTACCGCTGAAGCAGGGAGCTTCGAGATGGTTGAACAGAAGCTCTCCAAAGCTCTAGGTGCTCTTACTGCCTATTACAGGGAAAACCAGCTGATCCCTAATCCATCTAAAACACAGACATGTGCTTTTCACCTTAAGAACAGACAATCATCCCGAGCTCTGAGGATTACCTGAAAAGGAATCCCACTGGAGCATTGCAGCACACGCAAATATCTGGGAGTCACCCTGGACTGTGCCCTGACCTACAAGAAGCACTGCCTGAATATCAAGCAAAAACTGGGCGCTAGAAATAATATCATATGAAAGCTGACTGGCACAACCAGGGGATCACAACCAGACACAGTGAAGACATCTGCCCTTGCGCTATGCTACTCTGCTGCTGAGTATGCATGCCCAGTGTGGAACACATCTCACCACACTAAAACAGTGGATGTGGCTCTTAATGAGACATGCCGCATTATCACGGGGTGTCTGCACCTTACACCACTGGAGAAATTACACTGTTTAGCCGGTATTGCACCACCTGACATGCACCGGGAAGTAGCAACCAATAGTGAAAGGACCAAGGCAGTGACATCTCCAACTCATCCCCTGTTTGGATATCAGCCAGCACGTCAATGACTTAAATCAAGAAATAGTTTTCTGAGATCTATAGAGACACTCGTTGGACTCTCAGCAAGCGAGAGTCCAAAAGTGGCAGGCTCAAACCCAGAACCTCAATCAATGGCTGATACCAAATGAGAGACTCCCCCCTGGGCACACAGAAAACTGGGCGACTTAGAAGGCACTGAACAGACTGCGCTCTGGCACCATGAGATGCAGAGCCAACCTTAAGAAATGGGGCTACAAAGTGGAATCCACGACATGAGAGTGTGGAGAAGAGCAAACTACAGATCACCTGCTGCAATGCAACCTGAGCCCTGCTACATGCACAATGAAGGACCTTCTTGCAGCAACACCAGAGGCACTCCAAGTGGCCAGCTACTGGTCAAAGGACATTTAATCAACTACCAAGCTTGCAAACTTTGTGTTTTGTTTGTTTGTCTGTTAAAAAATTCAATGTAACTGTTTGGTCTGCTGCTGACACGATAAAGAAATAGCCATAGAGGGATCCTTATCTTAACATGCTGTTATTTTCATAATCTCAGATGAAAAAATTATTTTCAGCTCATGAGAAATTTTAGGGTACCACTGAGTACTTGTTGTTTCACATAGGAAGAGAACACTACAGAGCCCATAATACAGTGCCTCTTAAAACTAAGACTTGAGTCTGTTTTTAAATTAACTTGAACCCATTCCACACAATAGAAAGTCTTTGATTAACTGTGAGTTGTTGTTGTTCATTCGTTCAGTTGTCTCCGACTCTTTGTGACCTCATGGACCAGCCCACGCCAGAGCTCCCTGTCGGCCGTCACCACCCCCAGCTCCTTCAAGGTCAGTCCAGTCACTTCAAGGATGCCATCCATCCATCTTGCCCTTGGTCGGCCCCTCTTCCTTTTGCCTTCCACTTTCCCCAGCATAATTGTCTTCTCTAGGCTTTGCTGTCTCCTCATGATGTGGCCAAAGTACTTCAACTCTGTCTCTAGTATCCTTCCCTCCAGTGAGCAGCCGGGCTTTATTTCCTGGAGGATGGACTGGTTGGATCTTCTCGCAGTCCAAGGCACTCTCAGAACTTTCCTCCAACACCACAGCTCAAAAGCATCGATCTTCCTTCGCTCAGCCTTCCCTAAGGTCCAGCTCTCACATCCGTAGGTTACTACAGGGAATACCATGGCTTTGACTAGGCGGATCTTTGTTGCCAGTCTGATGTCTCTACTCTTTACGATTTTATCGAGACTGGACATTGCTCTCTTCCCAAGAAGTAAGCGTCTTCTGATTTCCTGGCCACAGTCTGCATCTGCAGTAATCTTTGCGCCTAGAAATACAAAGTCTGTCACGGCCTCCACATTTTCTCCCTCTATTTTCCAGTTGTCAATCATTCTTGTTGCCATAATCTTGGTTTTTTGGTGTTTAGCTGCAACCCAGCTTTTGCGCTTTCTTCTTTCACCTTGATTAGAAGGCTCCTCAGCTCCTCCTCGCTTTCGGTCATCAGAGTGGTGTCATCTGCATATCTGAGGTTGTTAATGTTTCTTCCAGCAATTTTTACCCCAGCTTTGCATTCATACGCATTCAGCTTTGCATAACTGTGAGTAGTGCATGCCAAATAAACTTATAACTGCACTGAAACACAGAAAACTGAAAATCTGAATAATGTATAGTCATTTGGAATATCATAAAGGTAACATTAATTAAAATTCAATCAGTAGTTGAACCTAATGTAAGCTGAATATGTTGAAGTTTCAAATCTACTACTCAGTAGTAAATGATAGACATTCTAGAGTTGATATAGTAGCTGGGAATGAAGAAAAAATAACACTGCTTCAACCTCCTTTGGTGGTCCAGGTGAAGAACTTCACTGATGTACATCCTGACTATGGTGCACGTATTCAAGCTCACTTGGATAAGCACAATGCTAAAGACTCCAAAAAGGTATGGGAGCTATTTCATCTCATGTTGCTGTGTAGAAGGAGAGGAGAAGGAAATGTTGACTAAAGTCATTAAGATGTGAACTGCTGTAGAATGGGAGTGGAAGATGGGAAGGGATAACTATAAATGCAGGAGAAGAGATGCCCTCCATAAAATCTAACCTTCAAGGTTGATGTGGAGTAACTGCAGATTGCAGATTCCCTCAAGATGGCCTCTCTCTGGCTACACAGAGATAGGTCTTTGTGACCTATCTGTCATTTGGAGCCATATGCTGTGGGATAAGATCCAGTCTTTGACAGCCCCCATATCTTTTTCTGCCAGCAGTTCTTCGCAGCCCAATAACATGCTGAAAGGGATGCGCTGAACTACCTCAGTGGTGGCAAGACATCCACACTTCCCAGCTCTGCTGAGCCCCATTCCCACATGTCACTGCAGCAACAAGACTCCTCTTGTGTGTCTTGTGACTCACAAAGAAGACTAGGAGGAGCAACTGGAGGGAGGGAGGAGTCTGGGCCCAGGCTGTTGGGGGTCTAGACTACCATAGAAACCAGCTGCAGGTGTCTAGAGTACCATAACCCAGAGGCAAGCCTGAATGCTGCACCTGGAGTTCAGTCATGTTTAGCGGTTTTCCCCAAGTAAAATCAGATCAGTCTGGGTGTGTTTTGTGGCCACATGCAGGAAAATTCACTCCCACGCCAACCTAAATGATGTGGGGCCTGTGACTTCTTCTGTAATTCCTCAGGGTAAGGGGTTTTTGGACGGGAAAGGGGGACAAGTACTCACTGCAATACATTACACATTCCCAAAACACAAGCAAGCAAGTTGATGCTGGGGGTGATGGTACACTTGAACACCAAGTCCCCTTCGGGGTTGAGAAGTGTGGTATACAAATATTGCAAATAAATAAATAAATAAAACAAGTCTAAGAGTGTGTTCTTTATTTTATGCTCCTTTACCATCAATGAGCACCTAGAACTCTGCAGTGTTGGATAAGATTCCACTTTATAAGGATTGTTAATGTTATTATTAGACATTTCTCTTTAAGGGATAATAGTATATGTGTAAACAAATGAAAATATACTTTTATTGGAAGGCAGAAACTCCATAACTTAACAGTATTAGTTTGAAAGAGAGTTGTATATATTTCTATGGTAAATATGACCTTCACACTTAACTTACACTAGATAATTTGCTTGTTCCTAAACATGAATTTGAAAAAAGAATGTGAGCAAATTGTCAGTTTTTTTTTAAAAAAATGAAATATGTCATAGTTAAAGAAAATTCAATAGCTAAAAAACCTCTACCGCTTAAACAGCAAAGATTACTTGTATTCTGAATATATCTTTTTTACTTTTCCTAGGGTTCAGTACACGTGTGCCGACAAGCTTCATCTAAAACTGGAAAGAACTAATGGCATGATCTCAAAATACCAGTTCTGCTGATTAGAACATTATCTCATGACATTACAATCAATCTAACTGGGAAACAACCCATGCAGTGCCTTAACAAATGTTTCCATGTTTTCTGAAATATCTTTTGACAGAAAGCAGTAAAATTTTGTTGTTTTGAAGATCAATCAAAATAATTTGCTTTCTAAGTAATCTTTCACTTATTTATTAAAGAGATCATACATAATACTGGCAAGACCTTTAACTGTAGGCACCCAGAGACTTTTTTCATGTTTATACGCTAGGGAAAAACAAAATCCTAATTGTAATACTGCCCTCTGGTGTGCTAATTTACTATACAGTTTTAAATGGGAAGTAGGCTTAAAACTCATTATTGGAGATAGCAGTCGGTCACATAACCTGCTGTAGTAGAACCAGCTTTGAATCGAGCATATTAGCTTAACATTGTGGTTCTTAATTACAAAAATACCAGTATTTTGGAAACAGCAAGGTTTTCTCAGTGGTGTTTGGCTCCTCATTAACAACTATTCTACAGTACTGTATATTTAACCAGTAATATCTAATCACAATTTATGCTATTTTGCTTGGCTATAATTTTTGCACATGGTTTCCTTATTGTTGGAAATGAGATGGTTATAAGTAAATCTTATGAAATTGATAGACATTCTCATTACCTTATATTCTTTCCCAGCTAGGTAGTAGTTACATATCTTAGTCTCATCAAAGAATTGTATTATTACATTCAGTTCTAGCTCTTTCCTAATTCTGCATAGACAAGTTACTCATGTGTCCTAGTTCCAAGTTGGCTTAAGAAGATGTTACAAAATAAAATGAAATATAGATTCATATCATGGCTCACGAGAGCTCTAATTGGTAAGTGTTGGTGGCGTTGATAATAATACTAATAAAACTTTATTTTTATCCCGCCCTATCTCCTTGAGGTTAATAACTGCATTGCCACTAATCTCTTAGTGAACCGGTGCTGATCAAGAATTTAAAAGGATAGCTCGTGTAAGTCTGGAATGTTGGTAAACAAAGAAAGCTTGTAGCAGTTTGGAGATTAACTGAACATGGAAATATACACTTTTGTAAACTAAGTCTATTTCCTGGGATGTCTCTGAGGAAGTAGGCTTAGGGCCCTTCCACACAGCCATATAACCCAGAATAATAAAGGAGAAAATCCCACAATATCTGCTTTGAACTGGGTTATTTGAGTCCACACTGCCATATATTCCAGTTCGAAGCAGATAATGTAGGATTTTATTCAGCTGTGTGGAAGGGGCCTTAGTCTAAGAAAGTTTATGCTAACAACCGCATTATAAACCTTAATATAAACTCTAAGGTGCTTAATATAAACTCTAAGGTGCTACAAGATCTCTTGGAATTCTTGTCAAGAAACTGAGTTGCTTAATTAGTTCTCTGATTCACTAAATGGACTAAACACTGGTCCCTGTAGTGCACTGATCTTCTCCTTCAAAAAGTTATCAATTTGTATTTGCTGCACTTGTAGTTGATGAGTTTCTGGCAAGAAGACAAACACTGCACATACATTAAAAGACATATAGATTCTGCTAATCTATCTCCACGATTTCAAACAGTTCTAATAAGAAAAGGAAATATGAGGTGTCTAAAGAAAGCAAGATGGGTGACTAAAGAACTTTCAACTAAGCTAAGACTGAAGAGGCTGATGTACAAGAAATGGAAAAATAAGAGTCCTTTCTCCCACCCTGGACAATCCACAGATACCTAATTTTCCTAGTTTCCAACAGACCTCACAACCTCTGAGGATGCCTGCCATAGATGCAGGCGAAACATTAGGAGAGTATGTTTCTGGAACATAGACATAAATCCTGAAAAACTTACAACAACCTAGTGATTCTGGCCATAAAAGCTTTTGACAATACAATGTTTGACTTATCGGATGGCTTGTTCCTGGGGAGTGTCAGAAAGAGGAGCTCTACTGGCAGCTGCCATCCATGTGGTTCCCATTTCTCCCTTTGGATGTAGGGGCTGCTTGTCCATCGGATGCCATGGCAGTCAGTAGGTTTTTGCTCAGTGTGCAATGCTAATTGGCTGGTGTGTGTTCTCCATTGTGGCCAAGGGTATACACAGATGGGGTTTCCACTCCAATTCAGTGGAAGCCTTCAAGAGACTAGCTCAGGTGTGGTTCAGCCACTTAGTCACAACTTGAGAGATGGATTGGCATGGGTCTTGGATCCAGAATTGAGGAACATGGTGTATTTGGGTGCTTGTGGATAAGGGGTCCCGTAGAGTGGGGTTGAGCAGAGGTCTTGTCCATGTGGCAGAGAACAGACCATGCCATGCCCAAACCCAGTGGCAGAGACAGACCAGGGTTGGGGCTGCCTGACAAACTAATTTCACATCACTCCCACAGGAAGGTGGCACTGGATTGGTTTTGCTGCATTTTTGGCCAATAATTGGGTTGGTCAATGCTAGAAACCAGATCTATGAAGGTACCAACTTTGGGCAAGCTGTAACCAAATAAAGTTTTGGCCTTTTATTAACCAATTTGTAGTCATGTGTTTTATTTGGAGAAGGAGATGCTGCGCTAAAATCCTATATAACCAAGAAAAAGAAGACATTCAAACAAATAGCCGTTATCTGTAAGCAGAAAAGCGAAAGGTTTGCTAGAGAAGTTCAAAACTAAAAACAAGGGATTTTTACTTATCTCCACAAGAAAAGGAAGAATAGGGAGTGGTAGGGCCAGAGCAATGACCAATCTCAATAAAATAGTGAAGAGTAGAGACCTCACACTGGCAATGAAGATCCGTATAGTTAAAGCAATGGTATTTCCCCTAGTAACCTATGAATGTGAGAGCTGGACCATAAGGAAGGCAGAGCGAAGGAAGATAGATGCTTTTGAACTGTGGTGTTGGAGGAACGTTCTGAGCATGCCTTGGACCGCAAGAAGATTTAACCATACTCCAGAAAATAAAGCCCGACTGCTCACTGGAGAGGCAAAGGTGAAGTACTTTGGCCACATAATGAGAAGACAGGAAAGCTTGGAGAAGATAATGATGCTGGGGAAAATGGAAGGAAAAAGGAAGAAGGGCCGACCAAAGGCAAGATGGATGGATGGTATCCTTGAAGTGACTGGCTTGATCTTAAAGGAGCTGGAGGTGGTAATGGCCGACAGAGAGCTCTGACATGGGATGGTCCATGAGGTCATGAAGAGTCTGAAGTGACTCTTCAGACAACAAACAAAGGGCCATTGCTTGGAGAAGATAGACAAATGCTCCCTGGGGGATAGAGAAAAGGCAGAACTACTCAATGCCTTCTTTCATTCAAAGGATAAACAGTGCTCAAAAACAGACCTGGCAATACAATAGAGAAAATGCAGCATGGGATAGATAAAGAGGTAGTAAGGACCATCAGGCCAATCTAAATGAATTGAAGTTTCTGGGTGAACTACACCCAAGGGTGTTAAAAGAACTGGCAGAAATAGTCAGAGAACCATTAGCAATAATCTGAGAATTCCTGGAGAACAAGAGAAGTCCCAGCAATGTTGTTCCTGTCTTCAAAAAAGTAATACAAGCAAATAAATAGAGACTCAATTGGCAATCAGACTGATATCAAGACCTGGAAAGATTCTAGAACAAATTATTATAAAGCCTATAAGCAGTTAGAAAGGAATGTTGCAGTCATTAAAAGTCAACATGTATCTCCCCAGAACAAGTCATGCCAGACTAATCTTATCTTTTTAAAATAAAATCACATGAATGGTAGATAACAGTTGTGGATACAACAGATCTTGATTTCAGAAAGGCCTTTGCCAAGGTTACCAATTATATTCCTACAGATAAGTTAGTAAAATATGGATTAGGTAAGGTTAGGTGTATCTGTCATTGGCTGAGTGATGAAACCCAAAGTGTGCTCACCAATGGTTCCAACTTCATGTACAAGGGAGTGTCCTGGGCCCAGTGCTATTCAACATTTCTATCTATGACTTAAATGATAGTATTGATGCTCACTATACTTGCAGATAACCTTCAAGTAGCTAATATTCCAAGGGGCCCAATTAGAATTCAAAATGACCCTAAAAGATTAGAGAGCTGGGACAAAACTAACAGAATGAATTTCTACAGGAAGAAATGTAAGGTACTACCCTTTGACAATAAAAATGAAATGCCCTTGACAAAAATGAAATGCACAGATACAGGATGGATGACACCTGGGTTGAAAGCAATACATGTGAAATGGATCTAGGAGTCTTAGGCCCCTGCCACACTGCCATATAGTCCTGATTATCAAATCAGATAATCCACATTATCTGCTTTGAACTGGATTATATGAGTCTACACTGCTTGTTTTCTGCTGCTCCAGAGCATAAATTCAAACTACAGAAAAGGAGATTATATTATCTAAGCATTAGGAAGCACTTCCTAATGGCAAGAGCGGATTGACAATAGAATAGCCTGCATCTTGTGCTGTGGAGTCTCCTTTGGAGGCTTTTAAATCCAGGCTGGATGGAAGGCCATGTGTCAGGAGTACTTTGTGTTTTGTGTTGTCGAAGGCTTTCATAGTTGGAATCACTGGGTTGCTGTGAGTTTTCCAGGCTGTATGGCCATGTTCCAGAAGCATTCTCTCTTGATGTTTCACCCACATCTATGGCAGGCATCCTTAGAAATTGTGAGGTTTGTTGGAAACTAGGCAAGTGAGGTTTATATCACCTTCAAACAAAGGATTCCCACATGTAGCAACCAGCCAGGCTTTGAAGCAGCACTGCTATTAAACTAACCAAGGTGGCCATTTGCAACATTCACACCTACCTCCAACAGACAAGAATGTCCCGCCCTGGACATTCCACAGATATATAAATCTCACTTGCCCAGTTTCCAACAGACCTCACAACTTGGAGGATGCCTGCCATAGATGTGGGTAAAATGTCAGGAGCGAATGCTTCTGGAACATGGCCATACAGCCTGGAAAACTCACAGCAACCCACTTTGTGTATATCTGTATGGGAGAAAGTTGGACTGGATGGTCCTTCTGGTTTCTTCCAGTTCTAAGATACTACTATACAAAAGAAACCATGAGCATCTCTCTGCTACAGGTGCATAAGAGACTCATAATAGACCTGCAAAAGAAGACAAAAGTGCTATGATTGTTAGGTGGCTTCTTAAATGGAATACAAACTGTCGGGTTTCATCCCTGACTGCACAAGTATCCAGCTCTCAATGAGTAGTTAGCCTAGATAGACTGAGGGATTCCCCCCCAATTTCCTCTAGCTAGTTGATTTTAAGAAGGGGGGTTGTCTTACTCATCTTTGCATGCCACTGTCTCCTCCATTTTGAATACCTAGGAATGTGATCTCTTCAGGGAAACGTAACTTCGTTTTTTTAAAGGTATTTTTATTGCCCTGGGCTGGCCATGGGGCCTGTCTCCATTTTCTGGCCTCTTCTCCTTTTTCTTCTCTAGAGTGAGGAAGCATCTTGCCATTGTCTATGGCAAGATGTAGTAGATATAGTAGATATAGTTACTTTTAATATTTTTCCCTTTCCCTTTCCTTTAGAACTTTTTAAACAGAGGTCCAGGTCACAGTTCCTCAAACTGTTGGAGGGCTGGATTATAATTTGAAAAAAAAAATGAATGAATTCCAATGCACACTGCACATATCTCATCTGTAGTGCAAAAAACACAAACAATACAATAATTAAAATGAAGAACAATTTTAACAAATATAAACTTATTAGTGTTATTAGGAAGTGTGTGGCTGACGAGATAGGATTGTTGTTGTTGCTGTGTGATTTCAAGTCATTTCAGACTTATGTTGACCCTGAGTGAGGGCCGTGTAAATGACCTTGAAGGGCCGTATCTGGCCCTCGGGCCTTAGTTTGAAAACCACTGCCTTAGAAGGTAGCTCAGTGAAGCTAGTCAGCTCCAAGAACCTTTCCTATCTAGAATGGATTTCTTTTATCTTTAATAAACATATCATTTTTGATCCTATGAATTGTAGATCTGTAATCCTGTTCCATCTTGTTGAATGGAAGCCAATCATTGCTCACAACATGTTATGCTTATGAACTGTGCATCCAGCACTCTGCCACGTTTTTGGTGGAATCACCCCCAGAGAGGGGTATTTTTTTGAGCCGAACAGCTTCTGGTTCCCAACACAAACCCTTCACAAATGCAGAGACTTACAACTTGTCTCCAACTCTAGTTAGGTTGGCTCTGTGCACACTCAAGTTGCAAATGATAGAAGGTTGCTCTTTAAAAAGTGCTCTGCCTGTGTGTGTGAGAGAGAGAGTTTGGGGTTTCAGTTTTAGCATTTCTGGCCACTGGCTAAACTGGCTGCGGCTTCTGGTGTCTGCAGGACCACCGTTCAATGGGAATGGAGAAGAGAGAAGGAAGGGTCATTTTGTTGTAGTTCTGTGCCCTTCTCCCTTTCTCCACAAAGGCGAGGATGATGAAGCGAACACTTTCGCAAGGCTCTTATCTGCATTTACTCCGCCCTTCGGAGTTGGGCAAGAAGCGGGGAGAAAGAAGCATATATAGATCTCTCTCTCTCTCTCTCTCTCTCTCTCTCTCGCTGATGCCGACTTGGGTACCTCATGAGAGAGTGAGTCCCTTTCTCTGGCGGCTCTTCGCATCCTCTGGAGGAGCGCGTCCCTCTCCCCGTCGGGAGCCGGCTTGAGCCCCACGAAATGGCAAACAGGCCAGACTACGCCAAGGAACAGCTGAAGCGCTGGCAAGAGGAGCACCAATCGCAGGTATCAGACTCCCCCCCCCCCCCACATCAACCTATTAATATGCTCTGCCCGCCTCGCGCGCCTGGTTTCCATTGGATTGCACTAGGAATGCTTTGGAAGCCCTTCGGGCGGGCGAAGCCATCGCTTCGCTAAACAGGGTGGGTTGAGGATCGGGGTCCTGTCTCCTATTTTGTATCTGGGCGGCCAAGTAGGGATAGTCAGTCTGAGGTGATTGGGGTGGAACAGAAGGATGGAATGGTGCCAGCGAAGAAGCTTTTCCGTTTGGCAGAGGACAAGGCTTTTGGGGTCCTAATGGACAAAAAGTTAAACATGAGCCAACAATGTGATGCGGCGGCCAAAAAAGCCAATGGGATTTGGGCCTGCATCAATAGGAGTGTAGTGTCTAGGTCCAGGGAAGTCATGCTACCCCCCTATTCTGTCTTGGTCAGACCACACCTGGAATATTGTGTCCAATTCTGGGCGCCACAATTGATGGGAGATATTAACAAACTGGAATGTGTCCAGAGGAGGGCAACTAAAATGATCAAGGGTCTGGAGAACAAGCCCTATGAGGAGTGGCTGAAAGAGCTGGGCATGTTTAGCCTGACGAAGAGAAGGCTTGAGAGGAGACATGATAGCCATGCATAAATATGTGAGAGGAAGCCACAGGGAGGAGGGAGCAAGCTTGTTTTCTGCTGCCCTGGAGACTAGGACGTGGAACAATGGCTTCAAACTACAAGAAAGGAGATTCCATCTGAACATGAGGAAGAACTTCCTGACCGTGAGAGCTGTCCAGCAGTGGAACTCTCTGCCCTGGAGTGTGGTGGAGGCTCCTTCTTTGGAAGCTTTTAATCAGAGGCTGGATGGCCATCTGTTGGGGGTGCTTTGAATGCAATTTTCCTGCTTCTTGGCAGGGGGTTGGACTGAATGGCCCATGAGGTCTCTTCCAACTCTATGATTCTATTATTCTAGGTGATTGGGGTGGAACAGAAAGATGGAATGGTGCCAGTGAAGAGGCCTTTCGTTTTGGAGCTTGAATAGCTGTCTGCAGCAGGCACACGCATGCAACTTGTTGCCTCCTAATTACTTCCACTCCCAGTCAAACCAAATAAAACACAATACATTAAAAACAATATAGTATATCACACTATAGTATGCCTTTAACAACTACTTCAAAGTAAGTACCACACAATTAAACAGGAAATAACATTTTCAAACCAGCCCCCCCCCCAATTTTGTTACATAGTTATCTAACTCTTTCTTTGACTGGCATAGACTTTTTTGGGGTGGGGGATGGATGAGTTGCTTTTTGTTCAATGCTTCTGTTTTGACTTTTCTGCGCACAACTAACCCTCTGAGTTTCTGGATATTATATTTTGCTTTTTACCATTTCACATGGATAGTTGTCCAAGTACAAAACCTGACACAATGGAGCCAAAGTCAAGCATTTCTAAGGCTGTTTTTACAGTTATTTAAAGTAGTTCAAGATGTGGACTAAGGAAACCCGGTTCCAAAGATCCTGGGGCTCCCCAGATCCATCTGGAAGCTGGGACAGCAGCTGCAAAGACTTGCTGATTCAGATCATTCTGAAGCAAGTAATATTATTTTCTTCTACCTTGCCTGGTGGGATGTAGTGATAAAGAGAAGCCTGTCTGATGAAATCAGTGATGGACGATAGCAGGGCAAAGCAAGAAAGGGCTGTGCATACTGCGAGCCCTTCCACACAGCCCTATATCCCAGAATATCAAGGCAGAAAATCCCAAAGTATCTGCTTTGGACTCGGTTATCTGAGCCCACACTCAGATAATGTGGGATTTTCTGCCTCAATATTCTGGGATATAGAGCTGTGTGGAAGGGTCCTTCTAGCTAGATGCATGTTGCAGTGTGCATTGGGGGCAGGCATGTAGCCTCATGGTGGTCTGCGAGAAGGCCTTACTGGTGCATTATTTAAACTGTTATGTGTAGTCATATCATGATCTGATCACCATATTCAATATATCCCATATGCATTGGGGTAACAATACAAAAGGTTTGCTAGGGTAGACCTTCTTTCACTCAGACTCACCCCCCCCCCGAATCAAACTCAGCCCCTCCCCCCCCCCCGAATCAAAATCCTGGCTACGGGCCTGATTGGGGGTGTCCATTTTGTGGACACCCCAGCCTTGAGACAACTGGATTTTAGTGCATATGTAGAAGGATCCTAAGACATTTGAGTTGAATGGAAGAAATTTTAAACCCACTTATTTTCATGGGATTAAGTACTCATGCCTAGAGGTTCCAACTGTTATACTATGGATACCTGCTGCTCCCAAGAGATGTTCATATTTTGCTGATAATACTGATGCTCTTTAACATAAGAGCATGGCAGGACAGAGATCGAAGCAGGGCAGTTATCTATTATCTGAGTAGGCCCAAGAGAGAGTGTCATTAGATGATGTTGTAGTTGGAATGGAATGCAGATAAACTACAATTCACACGAAGAAAATAACTGAGCTTAGCAATGCTTGCTGTGGCAAGAGTTTGTTTATGTAATGGACAAAAGGAAAGGACTACAAGTTATTTTATAGCTATAGGTATCTAGATCATTTTGGTCAAGCTCAGAGCAAACACAAACTTTCTCTGAACAAACTCTACGAAGAAAGTTCCATTTATGGCCTTAGATTTGCCGTACATTGAAAGGGATTTGAAGGCACATACCCACCATTAGGAAATCTGACTGAAAATTTCTGAAGCTTCAACTCCCATGATTCCATGAGCCATGTCTATTAAAGTGGTCAAACTGAATTAATTCAATAGTGTAGAAGAAGCCCATCTTTCTCCACCCCCTAGGCCCCTTTCATACAGCCACATTATCCACATTGAACTGGAATATATAGCAGTGTGGACTACGCAACAGAATTAATCAAGTGACCCCACCCCAAAATGATTAGGTTGGTATGAAGCTATAAGGGAGCAGTGCAAGGTGTGAGAGAATTAAAAAAATCCTGGGAAACCATGGTTTCCTCATCTCCAGTTTAGTTATTATGAAAAACTGCAAGCACTGCAAAATCCCATGCTCTTCATCTCATTGAGCGGACAGAGCCTTTGAAGGCTCAAGTAGGACACAAAAGATCAATAAGTGATATTTATATCTGGGCCAGGCCTTTTCTTTATCTCGTAAAAAGCTTTTCATGTGGATGTAAAGTTACTTCATCAAGCAGTCTTCATTTTGAATTGAATCTTATAATGCCAGTCTCATCTGGAGAGCAGATACATAAACTGATTTAGGATTCTGTTTGTCTCAGTATGTCTCATTGCAACAGGTGTTATAAAAGGCTTAGCTGAATAAACTTGCTCACAGTGTAAAGTACAAGGGGGTGTTGAGAGACAAATGTAGGGTTAGAAATAGTGGCTTTTAAAATTGCTGACTTGGAATGCTCATAGATTACATTCATTTAGTTGTGGTTATCTGATCAAGAATTTAAATGCATCTTCTAATGCACAGCTAAACATTTGAAGATGCAAAGAAAGCTTTTTATCATCTGAATGCATCTATAGATGGTGCAAAAAAGATTAGAAGTTCTTAACCCACTTAAACATATATGAGTCGCAAAAGACTCATGTGCTTAAGTGGGTGGAGTAGTAGATGTTGTGGAAGACACTTAAAAATTCATGCAACAACACTTCTGTTGATTTATCTGCAAACCAAGAATGGGCAACTTGGAAGTCCCTGAACAGACTCCGAAGTGGAGAGGGTAGATCAAAAGATAACTTGGCAAAATGGCACTACCTAAAAGAATCCTCCACCTTGTGCAACTGTGGAGCAGAATAGACAACTCCGCATCTGTATGCTTGTCCACAATGTCCTGCCTCAAACAGAAAGGAAGAATTGTTTGAAGTTGCAGACAATGCGGTCGCTGTTGCCCGTTTTTCGTCAAAAGATATTTAGCCCCTTGAGCTCCTTCAATTTTTATCAGTTTATACTAATTTATGCAATGCTTTTGATATGAAATAAATAAATAAATCTGCAAAATCGGATGATATTGCTTAATAGCTTGTTTTCCTTTTTAAGTCTGGCTTCAATTTACATTTATTATTCCTTTCAAAAAGAATTGCTGCTGCATTTTTGGAAGTACAGTTCTCTCTGCTATGCATGAATTCTTGACTTTTTAGTACAACAATCTGTATTTTTCTACCTAACTCCTCCATTGTCATGGAGTGGTTTGAGTAATATCCATTTTAATTATTTGTTTGGCACCTGTTAGCGTTAAAGGGGCCACTTAATGTTGTTGATTCAATAAATGACAAGAATAATTTCATGCTAACATATAATTACAAAATATAAAATATTAAAAACTACAAAAGAGGTCTTTTATTTATTGTGTCAGAAGCAAATTGAGAATACAATTATAATGCAACATGAGAGAAGCCTTCCCTTGCAGATGGCTGATTCTCTCACAACAGAAGCGACTTGTAGCCGCTTGTGCTCCTTCAATTTGCAACCAACCAAACAAAAACTATACCTAAATAGAACCATAAAAACATATGTAATTTAAAAACAAATAAATTCCAGTCTTAATTGACAGAAGCAATCCCTTTAACATATGACAAGTATATTATACATTAAATAAACACAGGAAATTAGATTAGTTTAAATTCTTGAAACAAGATATTTTTTAATCTGGGTCATTAATTTAGTTAATGTTAGCTTGAAAGCTTCAGTTTAAAGCACAAAGCATTGTTAACTGCTTAGGTATCATGCAGTTTCTAAATCCCATTATTTCAGGTTTATCCAGATTGGGCCCATATCTCAGGCCCTGACACACTTTTACTGGAGGCGTCCAAATGACACCTCTAGTAAAAAAGGATCAATTTGAGATAAAGCATTGGTATCCATCAGGCCGGAAGAGAGATCTAATGGCACCTGGTAAGTTTTATTTTTAAGGGTTTTTTTTGGGTGTGTTTGAATGGTCAGATGTAATCCTGAAAATTGTTGAGATGGCATGTGGACAGCCAACGGACCTTGCAATCAACTAGGAACTCAATTTTCCCCCATGGTTCACCTATTTGAAAATCAAACATTTTAGAGCCAGATATCAAGCCACCTTCTTTAAGAACTGCCTTCACTCAGCTGCGATTTCAAGTGATGCTAATCGCAGTGTTAGATGGTCATTACCATAATCTTTCATGGGAAAACAGACTATGTATTTGTAGTCAATGCCAGGTAGAAGACATTGTGCATTATCTATTAGTCTGCCCATTGTATAGTGACCCAAGGGAAAGACACCTGAAATCCTTGCTGACACAAGATAAAGGGAACTCTGATGCAGAAGCAGTGCAGTTTCTGCTGAGTGACACAAACAGGGGCGGCTCAACCCATTACGCAAAGTAAGCATTTGCAGTACAGTTGATTTTGCCCAGGGGCACTCTTGAGGCGCTCTTGGGGGAAAATAGACCTTGATATATGTGAGTTGTAGTTACTGGGATGTATAGTTCACCTACATTCAAAGAGCATTCTGAACTCCACCAATGATGGAATTGAACCAAATGTGGCACACAGAACTCCCACGACGAACAGAAAATATATATCAGTGATTGGGGGGGGGGGGGGGGAACGCCAAAATACTGTTTGCTTACCATTGAAAATTACCTAGGGCCACCTCTGGACACAAACGACAATGTAACTTACAAAGTAGCCATTTTTGCTCTTTCTGCAATAAAGATCAGAAAGATAGAGTTAGATACAATTGCTATCAAATGCCGAGGAGACTCTAAGGGTTAACTGGACCCTCTCCCAAAATGTACTTTAATAATTATTAAATTGCATTGTTTTTGCTGTGGAAGCAGAGTTTAGTTTCTGATCAGTATCTTTGGTGCCTGTTACTCTGAGGGTACTATTGTGCACATGTGGTTCTTTTTGTCATGGCCTTGGGGCCGTACAATAAACTATTTTGATTGATTGACAAAGCCCATTCCCCCCCCCCCCCGGTTGTACAGACTTAAACCCTCTTCAGAGTGGATCTCTTCTATGTCTGGAACTGCCCTTCGAAGGCTTCATTCATGATGCTGGTTCATAATAGTATAGTTGGCCCTCCACATTTACAGATTTGACTTTTGTGGATTGAATTATTCACAGACTTGATTAAATGCAATGTTTTGGCATGAATCTCTAGATCCTTCACTGCAACTTCCTCTGGAAGCTGATCCTAGCATTGTACTGGAGCATCTGTCAATTCCTAGAATAATACAGCATTATCCCTGGTTAAAAAAATAGCAGTGATATCCCTCATTTATACACATATTGGTTTTCTAAGGTGAGTCCTTAGGACAAACAGTAGGATCAAATGCAAAAAAGCAATATTTCCTGCAGCTTCAGGGGCACAGTTGCCTTGTGTCTCTCTCAACTGTGTACTTTTCATTGGTTAAATTTGACGACCCCCCCCCCCCCCCCCCCCCCCCCCCCATTGAATCTAGGAACCAGATGCTGTGACCATGGGAGCTGGAATCCCCGTGGGAGACAAGCTGAATGTCCTGACTGTGGGTCCACGAGGTCCTCTCTTGGTTCAGGATGCGGTTTTCATTGATGAGATGGCACATTTTGACCGAGAGAGGATTCCTGAAAGAGTTGTTCATGCCAAAGGAGCAGGTTAGTGTTAAAGAGTATGTTCTGTATTTGTTTGTTGTAAAACATAGAGTATCTAACATTGTGAACTACTTACAGAATTGTAGAGAACACAGTTTTGAATACAGAAGGAACAAGAAAACAAAAGGGTTCATCATAGCATTTCCCTCTCCCATGGAAAATTTAGAAATGCACATGAATTTTCCCCAGTTTATTGTCTGAGGAGATATTTGCATAGTTGTATAACTAATATATTTTAATACAAGATTTTAAATTTAAAAAACCACAAGCCACCTCTTTGTACATTATTACTAGTATACATGAGTTACCTATATGGAAAATGTGAACATGTGCAAAAATATGTGGTGTAGATAGGAGCCAAGGAATTGTGAATGTAATTTAAGTCCCTTCTACACTGCCATATAAAACCCAGATGAACTGGATTATATGGCTGTGTAAACTCATATAATCCAGTTCAAAATAATGTGGATTATCTGCTTTGATAATCTGGATCATATGGCATTGTAGAAGATGCCTTAGTGTGTCCAAGAACATTTTGAACTTTGATTTCTTGAAAAGCATCCCCAGAGTTTCTAGAAAACTAAAACTTTTGAGTGTGAGGGGAACTTTTAAATGCTCAGAGATGGCAAGTATTTGGGCTATGCTAAAGTAGATGTTGATTCAGGATAGGTTGTGAATTGTAAACACTGTTTTCTTCTTAAAACAAGACTATTTATTTCTAAGGATGAGCAAAAGACATTAAAAATCAATTGTTAGATGAATTGTTATTTTAATATGGAAGGTATGAATTATTTCTGCTATTTCAAAGGTGGTATTCCCCATGAGATATACCTCCCAGTCAGATTCTTGGTAGATGTCTTCTTTGCTTTATATTTCCTGAAACAATAGTATTGTATCAACATGCCTTTAAAAAGAACATGAAATAGAGTGTATATTTTCAAGTGCATCAAATATATATTCTAGAAAGACATTATGGTCAGACCACTTGCCTTGGATTTTGACTTAATATTTAGGTCCACAGAACCGTCCACAGTTTTATTTACAAATATGCAAGGCAGCAAAAGTAGTTACATGAACTGAAATTTGTTCATCATGCGGAAGGGCTTTATTCCTATCCCCTCCATTTGCCTTCCTTTTGCATTAAAAAACTTATTTGCTGTTCTTATTTTTATCTCATTCCCCTCTGACAGCACTCAGTGCCATAATGGGGGCCTTTCCTTTTAGGGAATATAAAAGCCACTTTCTCTAGATTACTGCCAGAAGCAACAAGCAAAGTCATGGATCCTGAATTTCTTGTAAAGCCCACAATTTGAATGGCACCCTTTAGATTTTTCCACCAGCTGAGAGAGAGGGGTTTTGCAATTATTTTATTTTTGCAATATCTATTACCTGTTTCACTTATGTTAATAGATATTATTATCTCTAAGTTCTTGGTCTCTTTGTTTCTACAGAAAAGTAACACTTACAATATAATTTCAGGTGCTTTTGGCTATTTTGAAGTGACTCATGATATCACCCAGTATTGCAAAGCAAAGGTATTTGAGCATATTGGTAAAAGAACTCCCATCGCTATTCGATTTTCTGTTGTTGGTAAGACTTTTACAAATCTTGGTTTGTATTTATTTATTTACCGTATTTATACCCTGCCGTTCTGACTCCGGAGGGGAATCAATACTATTTTTAATGTATTTGATTTTATGTGGTACTTTGAGCAATTATCTTCACTGATCTACTGAGTGTGGAAATCTTTAATTCTTCATAATTACTAGGGCTGGGCGGTTTCGTTCGTTAATTTCGTAATTCATTAATAATTCGTTATTTTTCTTGATAACGAAGCGATAACAAACCATTCAGGAGCAACTAAAAAACGAAACGAATTTTTAAAGCTATTTCGTAATTGTTTTGTAATTGTTTCATTATTATTTCTGTATGTCTGGTGCAAGTTTTATAGTTGTTTCCCTCCCCTCTCCCTGGTTGCAAGCGGTCGGCATTTACCCCACTTCCGGGTCCCTGGCCTCTGCTTAAGTGGATCAAATTCTCCTCTCCTCCTGTCGTCACCTCACCTCGTTCCTCACTCTGGCCTGCGTGCATTGGGCAAAGAGACACAGCAGTGCAGCACTCAGAGACCTGTTGCCTGCCTAACCTCTTTCCTTCTCCAGGTTAAAACTATTATATTTATTATTATTATTATTATTATTATTATTATTATTATTAAGAATGGATGGCCATCTTTCAGTACTGCTTTCACTGTGCCTTACAATGCACGAAGGCAGAAAGTGGTTTGTTATTATTATTATTATTATTATTATTATTATTGAGAAGCATTGTCAAACCAGAATAGAGATCTCACCCCTCCTCTCTCTCTCTTTCCCCCCTCTTTCCTTCTCCAGGTTAAAACTATTATATTTATTATATTTATTATTATTATTATTATTAAGAATGGATGGCCATCTTTCAGTAGTGCTTTGACTGTGCCTTACAAGCACGAAGGCAGAAAGTGGTTTGTTATTATTATTATTATTATTATTATTATTATTATTAGAGAAGCATTGTCAAACCAGAATAGAGATCTCACCCCTCCTCTCTCTCTCTTTCCTCCCTCTTTCCTTCTCCAGGTTAAAACTATTATATTTATTATATTTATTATATTATTATTATTATTATTATTATTATTAAGAATGGATGGCCATCTTTCAGTAGTGCTTTGACTGTGCCTTACAAGCACGAAGGCAGAAAGTGGTTTGTTATTATTATTATTATTATTATTATTATTATTATTGAGAAGCATTGTCAAACCAGAATAGAGATCTCACCCCTCCTCTCTCTCTCTTTCCCCCCTCTTTCCTTCTCCGAGGTTAAAACTATTATTTAAAACTATTATTTTCACGTTGCGCAACCGCGTCCGCCATTTTAACGAATTGATTCGTTAATATTAACGAAATTTCATAAATATCAAACTTTTTAAAAGGAAAATTTTGGAATTCTTTTAAATATCAAAACGCAAAAACCCCCAAAAAACTAATCGATTTTAGAAACAAATTTTTCCGTTGTTACCCAGGCCTAATAATTACATATAATAATAATAATAATAATAATAATAATAATAATAATAATAATGATTTATGAAACCAAAAATTGAGCCACATGCCTGTATAAAATAGGTTTGCATTATACTTTGGAATATCTGCATTGTTGATCTGACATAAGTTGTTTATTATGCTTCTGTGTAATTGTGATATTGTGAAAAATATTCAACATACATATATATAAGATTTAGTTTATAAGTAACAGCTCTTTTGTTTGGGAGTCATTCCTTAGTTTGGTGCATTTTCTGGGAATGATCCCCTTCCTGTGTTGTAGATGAAAAGAGTCATCAGCAGACCAAAACAGGAAATTGTGCACATTCTCTCTTGATTCAATTCTTCCTAGAATACTGTAAATGCCACTATCAGTGTGCTGTTGCACGCTGGGCCTGTGCATCAGACTGTAGACAGGACATAAATTCTGTGTGCCCAACGGGATGCTGGGGCTGCCTCAGATTAAAGGCCTTTGGATTTCCTTAAAACACAGTCTCTAGAATACTTAAAGGTTCAACAAAGTTCTTTATTAATAAAAACAAACAGGTGCTTTAAGGCTTTCTTAACAGTCTATTGGCTCTTTCAATCTTGTCCACAGGGAACAGGCACTATCTTCTTAACTGTAACTAATGGGGAAATCCTTAACTTCTAATCTGGGCAGTCTGTCTTTGCCTCTGTTGGCATGGAGTCCCTACACCCAGTACTAACTGCTTCTGGCTTCCGTGAGAGACCCTTACCAAGCAGAGCTTTGTAGACTTCCGGGGAAAAGAACTCAGGTTTCCATGATGGCTGAATGAAGTCCTTCAGCAAAGGAGCTGTAAGGCTGTACAACCCCGGTCAGGCTGTAGGCTGTATATCTCCCCAGCCAAGCCGTAGAAGACGAAGCTTTCTACAGGAGCTCTTGGTATTATGTTCTGCATGGAAAGCTTCTCTGTGTGGACTGAACTCAAAATGGCTCCTATTCCCTCTAAAACTCAAAAAGGGGGCGGGACCAGGGAACCTAACTATAATTGACAGGTGGTTTGCCCTATGATTGCAGCCAAAAGAAGCCACCTATCTGCAGAGTCCCTGAAACTTAGGACTATAACAAACATTAAATGCAAAGCAAACAAAATTGGAGCTCCTGGTACAGCTGTACCTGCACAATCAGCAAGGAAAGTCATTTCAGATTGTTCAGTGAGGGCTGGGAAGACAAGAAATGTCTCAAATAGGTTTTCCACAAATCTGTTCCCAAGGTAAACTTCAAGAGACATTCTTAGAACTTTAATGGTATCAGTGAAACCACCTGCATATAAAATGCATACCTGTTTCTGTAGTAAAGTCCAGTAAAATAGAGGTAAAAGTTAGACAACAATGTATGTTGAATTAATTTTTGGGACAGGATGCAATTCCTAGTGTCTAATGTTATCAAACTGTTATTTTATAGCTGGTGAATCGGGTTCAGCTGACACAGTTCGTGATCCTCGAGGCTTTGCAATGAAATTCTACACAGAAGAGGGCAACTGGGACCTTGTAGGGAACAACACTCCCATCTTCTTTATTAGAGATGCCATACTGGTATGTTAAATCATGACGTGTATTTCTCTGGGTCATACATTGTGAATTAAAGCAGAAGTTATTTATGAAATTTTGGCTCTTTTTTCTATAAGGCAATTTTTCTAAAACCAAGTTTAAAATCTTCTGCCAGAGGTTCATCTTCATAAAATCACAGACCATTATCCAAAAAGCCAATTATTCCCAGTGGCAGCATCTGCAGAGCCAGTTGTTTATCTTGACTATGATTTTTTTCCTCCCTAAGCCATGTTCTTCAACTGAGATGAGATATAAAATGACAACCTGTACATAAAGGTCCTTCAGCTTTCTATGCAAAGCCTCATAATTCCTTGTGATGTCCTAAAGGCTATGCCAGTGGAAAGAGTAACAGTTGGTCACCCTGACATGTTTGTCAGCCTCTTTATAGCATCATATTTTTTTGCCACAAAGAGACAACACACTTCTTTAGATATTCTATCACACCAGCAAATCACTAATTTCCCCCTCAGCAAGTAGCCCTGTACCACCACCATATGTCTCCTCTGGGGATTGGCAAGAGCCATTCCAGGTACGGAATCTTCCAAAGTCACCTGTGCTGCCTCTGAGGACTTGTACTGTTGCTGTTGTTACTGTTCCTTATCATCACTAATAAGAGACAGACCTTTACTCAACTCTGCAGCTCAAAACTCACAAAATGTTCCTTGGTACTTCTGGGTACCTCACATTCCTCCAAAACGCTACTCCCTGTGTTAGGAAACTGAGCTCCTCAGAGATAGTCCTTGTGTTTTCCTTATCCAGTATAGTCTCCTCTACTCTGTCCAAGAAAACCACATGCCTCCTAGTATGATAAGGCCCTTAAATTGCTAGATCTTCTATTCCAACAGGGCACTAATTTACACTTACTGCAGAGGTAGCTACCCACATTCTGCAGCAAGAACACAAGCATTCCACAGCTTTTGCAGGTGACAGCAGCAGTTCCTTCACCTTCTATATTTGGTAGTCTTAAATAGGCATCAAAACAGAACCCTGGGCCCTCTCAAAACGTCCCCACTAAACGCTAATGCAAAACACCATTGGGTTTGCCTGTTCTCTGAGCTCTTCTTTTCCAAGATCCTGGGATTAGGGCTGCAGTTGTTGGTGTAATTAAGGATTCACATGTATGAGAAAGATAGTGGCTAGTACTAAAATATACTTCAAATATAACTGGAATCTAAGAGTAATGCTAGATTGAATAGTACTCTTAAATCACACCCATGATTCAAGGGTAGCATAAGCTCCTCTAGGGTGATCCCACAGCTCAGCAGAATGCAAAGCACATTATAGATACCCAACCTGCTGAGGTAAACATTTTCCCCTGCCCTTAAGTCTAGTCATGTCCAACTCTGGGGTGTGGTGCTCATCTCCATTTCTAAGCCGAAGAGCTGGCATTGTCCATAGACACCTCCAAGGTCATGTGGCTGGCATGACTGCATGGAGCACCATTACCTTCCCGCCGAAGCGGTACCTATTGATCTACTCACATTGGCATGTTTTCGAACTGCCAGGTTGGCAGAAGCTGGGGCTGACAGTGGAAGCTCACGCCACTCCCCGGATTCGAACCTGCAACCTGTTAGTCAACAAGCTCAGCAGCTCAGCGTTTCAACCCACTGTACCACTGGGGGCTCCTCAACCTGCTGAAGCACTGTGTAAAAATTGGATCATGGAGTGGTGGTGCCAAAACATTTGCCCAAGGGCATAGCTGGGCAGCAGGAACCAATTGATCCCTACTGCAAACTGTCACATTCTGTTCTTGTTCCCTCGTCATATGCCTTCGGAGCACTAGTGCACATCTTGCTGGAAAATGGGGACAAAAATTGCATTCCCCAGCAGTGTCAAGCCTGCAAACACTGCAGATTCTGGAGCCAGTTTGAGGCCACTTTCTGTGGTTAATGCAGACACCTTCCTGGCCTTGAACCTTTTCCAGAAATGTCAGTGTCATCTTCCACATAACAAACCTGAGTTCTTCCAAACTGGTTCCAAGCTGAACTAAGAGATCACTGTAAAAGAGCCCATAATCATTTTTATGAATTTTCATTTAGAAATAAGTGACTTCAAACAGAACTGACTACAAATATAATATAAAGTGCAATAGATCTAACTGTAGTGTAAGTGCATAGTAATTTAATGAAGTTTTTTTTGTTCTTCTTAGTTTCCATCCTTTATCCATACTCAAAAAAGGAATCCACAGACCCATCTGAAAGATCCAGATATGGTATGGGACTTTTGGAGTCTTCTTCCTGAGTCTCTGCACCAGGTAGGATTTATATTTTCAAAACTACTTTTTGCTTCCCTGCTTCTTTTCTTTGCAAACTATAACCATCCTTTGTTCTTTTACTGTGTGTTTCTTGAAGTAGCTCAGGTGAAAAGGAGAATAAATACTTTCTTTCTCTTCTGCTTTTTCATGGAGAAAAGTAGGAAAATGGAGAAGTGCAAGTAGAGTTGTCAAGTTTCCATGTCATGTTCTTGAAACAATGAAAATAAGTCATAAGGTCCTTGTGCTCTTTTAATCTCTTCACCTATGCATTTGGTTATGATAGGTTCGGTCGATGTCTGCACCATTTAAACAGTTTATTGCATGCTATATCTTGCCTTCTCAAATGCTCAACTATTTTGTCCTGTCAGATGAATTAGGTGAGAGATTGCACTATTGAGACAGGATAAAGATTTATGGGACTGTCAGACTAAGAATAAAATATGCTTGGAAGCATATTTTCATTGTACAGGGGAAAAAGTCTACACAATGCTAGAGTGGCAATCTGAGTATCAATTCATGACCTATCAGCTCCTAGTCACTGAAGAGTTTCCAGAAAAGAAAGAAGCAGTGCTAGTCATGGATCCAAATATAGCACTAGTTCTTGGCAAAATAGGAAAAAAAAAAACAAGTGTTGGCCCTCCACACCAGAGAGATTAAATAAACATCACTTGTCTGTCATACCTAATCAATGAGCTTTACGGATTTCAGTTTTCATGGAAGGTGACTTTCATAAAAAATTTTTTTATGAAATATGTGAATGAAGGTTTGTGTTATTGCTTCTCCTGCTTCTGCTTTATAGGTATCATTTCTGTTCAGTGATCGTGGTATTCCAGATGGATTTCGCCACATGCATGGCTTTGGATCACATACTTTCAAGCTAGTGAATGCTAATGGAGAAGCAGTGTACTGCAAATTTCATTCAAAGGTAAATACTGCTGGGGTTTTTTGTTTGTTTAGAATTTAACTTTCAAGAATGTGATATTCATAAAATAGGATTAGTTTTAAAGTACATTTTAATTTATTTGGGAAATCAAAAGTTTCCCATCTGAATTTGGCTATCAGTGCAATGTCAGTGCAGTATTACAAGTAGCTGTGGTTCTGTCGAAGAGGTGGGGATGGGCTTGGAATCCAGTGCAGTACCATAGCAGGATACTCTGCATTGCAGTTGGATTTCTGCTGGTGTAGAAAACCCCATCAACATGTCTACCTCATCAGACATGTCAATGGGGTTACTGTTTTTGTAAGATCTTCAGATGCTACTTATAAATTAGTTGAGGGTTTATACACCAATAATATGGACTTGTAAACTTTTGTCACAAATCTTTAATGATGGGAATAATCCAAACATCCTGGTTTTATTGCTATAGTTCTTCCTTTAGAGATATGACTTTTGAGAATGACAAGAAGACACACTATGCATTGTACTTCACCAATAATGAGTTACAGAACTCCTTTAAATGTCTCCATGCATTTTATTTATTTATTTAGGGCTTTGATATCCCGTCCTATCTCAATCTCCACAGAGGGACTCAGGATGGCTAACAAATTGACACCCATGGCGCCCACAGTATTTTGAACTTTGGAAGCTTTGTGCTGCCTCATGTAGTAACATACCACTAATGAATCTGATCAGTGTCAGTTTTGCAAAACAGTTAATCACTTTCCTTTATTGCCTACTTTTATGAACTTAAAAGGAATAAATGACTACTTCCATTTTTTAAAAGTCTGTGTAGCAATATGCTTAGTCCCTTGAAGAATAGCTTTCTGTCCTACTCATTGCATGCCAGGCATGTAGCCGGGGGGGGGGGGGGGGGTTGGAGGGGCTTCAGCCCCCCCCCAAAAAAATTCTCATGGTGGTTCGCGAAAAGGCCTTACTGGTGCATTATTTAAACTGTTAGGTTTATTCATATCATGATCTGATCACCATACTCAATATATCCCATATGCATGGGGGTATTGGGGTAATGATACAAAAGGTTTGCTAAGGTAGACCCTGTTTCACTCAGACTCAGCCCCCCCCGAAACCCCCCCTGAAAAAATCTCAGCCCCCCTCCCTGAATTGAAATCCTGGCTACGGGCCTGGGAGGGTTGCAATCCCACTTTAAATAAGAAACATGAGGTCTACACTGATATATAGCACTGAATATAGTCTTGCTTCTGACATTTACACTGCCTCATACATAAAGTCCATTCACTCACATATATTGCTATCACTGAATCAGGACAATGATTAAGAATGAAACATTTTTGAGTTGGCATCTGATTATTCAAACAGATATATTTTGTTATTTGCAGACTGACCAGGGAATCAAAAATCTTACTGTTGAAGAAGCAGAAAAGCTGGTTGCTAAAGATCCTGACTATGCTCTGCGTGATCTCTACAATGCTATCGCGAAAGGAGATTATCCATCATGGAGTTTCTATATTCAGGTCATGACATTTGAACAAGCTGAGAATTTTCCCTTTAATCCTTTTGATGTAACTAAGGTATGATATAATTTTCTCTCACATACTTCATATAGAGAAGAAATGGTGGCATATCTCTGTTCTACAAGTCTGGAAACTTTGAGAGAAGACTGGAATAAAATGTTTGTCTCATTTTCTAGGTTTGGCCTCATGGGGATTATCCTCTCATTCCTGTGGGAAAGATGGTCTTAAACAGGAATCCTGTCAACTATTTTGCTGAGGTGGAACAGCTTGCCTTTGACCCAAGCAACATGATCCCGGGAATTGAACCTAGTCCTGATAAAATGTTACAGGTATAGGATATTTAATATTTCTTCATGATAAATGACATTGTCTTCTTATGTTCCCTAAGCTATGGTATAATGAGAAAAAATAGTATGCTACATGAGTATGAAGATACCAATGAGAAAAGAATCAAAACTTTATTTTTGTATGTTTAATTCTTTTTTCATTTCTTTTCTGTCTGTCCTCATCCTGCACCAACAGGAATTGTTAAACTTCTTAAAAGAAATATGATCATTACTGGTCGGTTGTTGTTGTTGTTCATTCGTTCAGTCGTCTCCGACTCTTCGTGACCTCATGGACCAGCCCACGCCAGAGCTCCCTGTCGGCTGTCACCACCCCCAGCTCCCTCAAGGTCAGTCCAGTCACTTCAAGGATGCCATCCATCCATCTTGCCCTTGGTCGGCCCCTCTTCCTTTTGCCTTCCACTTTCCCCAGCATAATTGTCTTCTCTAGGCTTTCCTATCTCCTCATGATGTGGCCAAAGTACTTCAACTTTGTCTCTAGTATCTTTCCCTCCAGTGAGCAGTCGGGCTTTATTTCCTGGAGGATGGACTGGTTGGATCTTCTCGCAGTCCAAGGCACTCTCAGAACTTTCCTCCAACACCACAGCTCAAAAGCATCGATCTTCCTTCGCACAGCCTTCCCTAAGGTCCAGCTCTCACATCCGTAGGTTACTACAGGGAATACCATGGCTTTGACTAGGCGGATCTTTGTTGCCAGTCTGATGTCTCTACTCTTTACTATTTTATCGAGATTGGACATTGCTCTCCTCCCAAGAAGTAAGCGTCTTCTGATTTCCTGGCTACAGTCTGCATCTGCAGTAATCTTTGCACCTAGAAATACAAAGTCTGTCACGGACTCCACGGTTTCTCCCTCTATTTTCCAGTTGTCAATCATTCTTGTTGCCATAATCTTGGTTTTTTTGACGTTTAGCTGCAACCCGGCTTTTGCGCTTTCTTCTTTCACCTTGATTAGAAGGCTCCTCAGCTCCTCCTCGCTTTCGGCCATCAGAGTGGTGTCATCTGCATATCTGAGGTTGTTAATGTTTCTTCCAGCAATTTTCACCCCAGCTTTGCATTCATCAAGCCCCGCACATCGCATGATGTGTTCTGCATACAAGAGGTTGGGTGAGAGTATGCAGCCTTGCCGTACGCCTTTCCCAATCTTGAACCAGTCTGTTGTTCCGTGGTCAGTTCTTACTGTTGCTACTTGGTCCTTGTACAGATTCCTCAGGAGAGAGACAAGGTGGCTTGGGATGCCCATCCCACCAAGAACTTGCCACAATTTATTATGATCCACACAGTCAAAGTCTTTAGAATAGACAATGAAGCAGAAATAGATGTTTTTCTGAAACTCCCTGCCTTCCATTATCCAGCGGATATTGGCAATCTGGTCTCTCTTTCCTCTGCCTTTTCTAAACCCAGCTTGAACATCTGGCAACTCTCGCTCCATGTATTGCTGGAGTCTTCCTTGCAGGATCTTGAGCATTACCTTACTGGCATGAGAAATAAGGGCCACCGTACAGAAGTTTGAGCAGTCTTTGATATTTCCCTTTTTGGTATGGGGATATAAGTTGATTTTTTTCCAGTCTGATGGCCATTCTTGTACAATACAGTACAAGTACAATACAGTCCTAGATATTGAACATCATCTTTTAAGATTTTAAACAGTTCAGCTGGGATCCCGTCATCTCCTGCTGCCTTGTTGTTAGCAATGCTTCTTAAGGCCCATTCAACCTCACTCCTCAGGAAGTCTGGTTCTAATTCATTCACCACACCGTCAAAACTATCCTCAATATTATTATCCTTCCTATACAGATCTTCTGTATAGTCTCGCCACCTTCTCTTGATCTCTTCAGCTTCTGTTAGGTCCCTGCCATCTTTGTTTCTTATCATACCCATTTTTGCCTGAAATTTACCTCCAATGTTTCTAATTTTCTGGAAGAGGTCTCTTGTCCTTCCTATTCTGTTGTCTTCTTCCACTTCCATGCATTGCTTATTTAAAAATAGTTCCTTATCTCTCTGGCTAACCTCTGGAATTGCGCATTTAACTGGGCATATCTCCCCTTATCCCTGTTTCCTTTTGCTTTCCTCCTTTCTTGGGCTACTTCCAGTGTCTCAGCAGACAACCATTTTGCCTTCTTGGTTTTCTTTTTCTTTGGGATGTACTTTGTTGCCGCCTCCTGAACAATGTCGCGGACTTCTGTCCATAGTTCTTCTGGGACTCTGTTTACTAAATCTAGTCCTTCAGATCTGTTCTTCACTTCCACTGTATATTCGCTAGGAATGTTAGTGAGATCATATCTAACTGGTCTGTGTATTTTCCCTGATCTCTTTAGTTTTATTCTAAATTGAACAATGAGAAGTTCGTGATCTGAACTACAGTCAGCCCCAGGTCTTGTTTTCACCGACTGGATAGATGTCCGCCACCTTTGACTCCAAAGGATGTAGTCAATCTGATTTCGGTATTGACCATCTGGTGAAGTCCATGTATAAAGCCATCTTTTACGTTGTTGGAAGAGAGTGTTTGTTATACACAGCGAGTTTTCCTGGCAAAATTCTATCAGCCTGCGTCCCGCTTCATTTTGTTCTCCCAGACCATGCTTGCCTGTGATCCCTGTTGTCATTTGACTTCCCACCTTGGCATTCCAGTCTCCTGTAATGAAAATAATGTCTCTTTTTGGTGTATTATCCAGTAGTTCCTGCAGATCCTCATAGAACTGATCTACTTCTGCTTCTTCAGCAACTAACTGGTCGGTTAGTTATTAGCAAAGTCAGACATGTAATGATCTGAGATGAAATACAGATAGTTCAGCAGAAACCCAAGACACAGATTTGGTTCTTCCTTTGTATTGAAAGAAAAAAGAAAGAGAATACACAGCATTTACAGGATACAAGAGCAATACAGATATTCCAAATTAATCAATATTATGCTGGGGTTTATTATTATGCTCTGTTTATTGTATCCAAGGCCAATGGAACATGTCACTCTGTCTTGATTATCAGATACTATAGGTTTCATGAGGCATCTGAGATTCAAATGTCTTTGCAGACTAGCTAACATGAATTTCTAGAGTTGAAGGCTGCTCAGCTAGCACTTTTGAGATTGCACAATATGGTTTCATGTTGTCATGTGTAAATTTGGACAGATGATATGACAGCCCATGCTATGTGTTACATTAAGGGGTCTGTATTCCAAAGCATTAATGACAGAGGTGGACCAATTGTTCCTACGGGTGGAAAAGAACATAAAATCAATATCTGTGCTTTATAGACGGTTCCCAAGTTCCCAAAATCTGACTTATAAATGACTCATAGTTAAAAATGCTGGTGAGACAACAGGAAGTGAGAGAAATCTACCCCTTGGAAGAGAAGTTTGCTCCTTAAGTAGTTATCATGGGGAAAGTTGTCTCCACTTAATCCTTGGGCCCATCGAAACAGGGCCCAAAATGTGCAAGCTCTCGCACTTTTACTGGAGATGTCCAAATGATGCCTCTGGTAAAAGTGAATTAATTCGAGGCAAAGCAGGAAAACCCTGCTTTATTCCAAATTAATTAGATAGCCCATTAGATTTGGACCTTCCTGAAAGGCCCAGTTCTAATGGGCCATGGGGCCATGTGGGGACTGACCTCCAATAAGGTTTTCTTTATTTTTAAGACTTTTTGAGGAGGTTATGGGGTAGCCCCATTGAAGCACGATAGTTACTGCACTGCAATGGGGACAACCCACAGGAAAGCTGTTCCCCTCCCCCAGGTTGTGGGGAGGGACTTAAACCTGCTTTGAAGCAGGTTTCTTTGGCAGAAAGTTCAATTAACCTGGATAAGGAGGAGAGTGGTGATAAAAATGATGGTATTACCCAAAATGTTGTCCTTATTCCAAAACTTACCAATTATGAAAGTCTGTGCTGGTTCATAGAAGAAAATTTGGTCTTGAAGATAGGTTGGACCTGAAGTGTATAGGGCTTTATAGGCAATAACTTGCACTTTGAGTTGGGTCTGGAAAGTTGCCGGCAGCCAGTGGAGCTGCTTTAGTAGCTCCCTATAACCAATTCCAGTTAGTAATCTGGCCGCTGACCTTTGCACTAACTGCAATTTCTGAGCCGTCTTCAAAGGCAGCGCCACGTAGAGTGCATTGCCGTAATTCAAAAGGTGTGGACCTTTTCGAGGTACAGTCACAGCTGGAACACAAGTTTTAATTGTGCAAATTAAAGCTTTGTGAAACAAAAAAAATTCAGACACTGATAGAAATTAACTGAAACAGAAGTCACCCACTCCCAACATTTGTCATTCTAGGGACGTCTCTTTTCCTACCAAGACACACACAGACACCGCCTGGGACCCAATTATCTGCAGATTCCTGTAAATTGCCCATACAAAACTCAAGTGGCCAATTACCAGAGAGATGGATTAATGTGCATATCTGGCAACCAAGGTAACTGTGGTTTATCTTTTATGGCTCTTGCACAGGCAAATATCCAGGTCACCTTGGGATTTAGGCCACACAGTGAGCCCAAACACCACAAGTTGAGGGAGATGGTGGTAGTTAGAAGCACTCCCAAATTGATCAGAAATCGACTGAAGAGGCTATCATGCCAGCCCCCAGTTCCCCAATATTCCCCTAAATGTACAGAAGGAGGCAGGCATCTCCAGTAAGTTTAGGTGGTAATCGGGGGCTGGCAGTGGAGGGTGGCAATGTTATCCCATTCTTTGAGCTCCTGAAGCCTGAAAAAACAAAACAAAAATGGCCAAGAGAATTGGCTCTTGGGATCTTGGAAGGCTGTCCCAAGAGTCAGTCCCCACAGGCTCAACACCTGCAAAAATCCAATTGAAAGGGCCTTTTTGAAAGGTGTTTTATTAAGACGGAACACACTGGAGGCCTCAGTGTAATCCGGAACCCATCACAGCTTTTGGACCTGTCTGGGATGGCACTTAGAAGTAATTATTTTATAATGCACAATAACTTATTTATTTATTTACTGTATTTATATACCGCTCTTCTCACCCTGAAGGGGACTCATAGCAGTTTACAGATAATGGCAAAAATCAATGATGCATTATATATACAAATAATAAATATAACATTTCAAATTATAAAACAGTTAAAATATATAAATGCAATAAAACAGATTAAAACATAGTTTTCCAATCATCCTCTCCCCACAGGCCAATCATAAACCTGCTAGTAAAAATAGTCCTAGTATTATTGCCATGGGGTATTAAGTGCTAGTGTAGAAGGCTACAGGATAAAGGTACAGGTGCCACCATTTTAAAACACAAGGTCTTAACTTCTGGAAGAGCTCTACAGAAGGTGGTAGTAAATTTCCTTACGTAGAGTCTATTATATTTGCCTGCTTTGGATTCCTTAAATAGGAGTTCATTGGGATTTTGAGTCTGTTACTGCTGAAAATACTTTGTTTTAAAAAAATGTTTCCAAGTGCAGATGTTGGTTGAATCATTTCAGACATTCTTCAGTATAATTATTTTACCTTTCAACCTCTCATAATATGTAATAGTAAAATAATTACTTTTTTCTAGGTGGTGCTCCAAACTATTATCCAAACAGTTTTAGTGGCCCCGTGGACCATCCCAATTTGAAGAAATCTCATGAATATATTTCAGGTGATGTACAGCGCTTCAATAGTGCTAATGAGGATAATGTGTCTCAGGTAAGCAGAACAGAATTTACGAGTTATCTTACTTTGGGAATAAGATATCTGTATAGTCTGCTTTTAATGGAGTAAATTGGCTGATAGCATTTCTTTTGAGGATGCCAAATGAAGTTGTTGCAAACTCATATCTTACATGCCCATCCATTACCTTGTTAAAGTACGATTATCCTCTGGAATATAACACTTTTTTCAACAAATATATTGATATACTTATATGGAGTATTTTACAAAGGGTGGATTACAAAGAATGATTGAGAGTGAGAAGATTCTTTGTAATTGTTCTAAAAACTCTGTTCCATCTAGGTTTAGGCATGTGGTCCACATACTAGTCTTCAAAGAATCCACCTAGCATTTTTTTTCCTTTTAGAATTTGGGATAGGGTGCAATGCTCTTATTCATGCATTTTCCCTCCTTCAAAGAACACATCTAAAGCCACTGGTAGAGTCAGAAATGAGACTGCAGCAGATAGTGTCATAGAGAATATAACTGAGTTGAACTCTTTTTTTTTTGTGCCAGATTGAGGCCTTGGAGATGCTTTTGCTTAAAGACTGTGATGAGCTGTAGGCAGGCACTGTAAAGTATAAAAATAAATCTGACTGAAATCTACAAGAATAACTCTGGTACCCATTACTTTTCTTTCTTGCAATAATGGCAGTGGTTAATGTCTCTTGAAATACAGTATGATGTCCACAATTTTTGTTCTTATTGCAGAAAAATAAATGAATTGCTAAACAGCACAAGATATATCTGTAATACAATTTTGTCTTCAACTTTTATTTAAAGGTACAAGACTTCTATACCAAAGTATTGACAGAGGAAGAGCGTAAGAGACTCTGTGAGAATATTGCTGGCCATCTTAAGGATGCTCAGCTTTTTATTCAAAAGAGAGCTGTAAGTGGTAAACTATTTACCCACTCCCATTTTTTCAATAAGTACTTCTAATATGACAATTTTTGAAGGCAAGGGATACACACAAATTGCAGAATGCACAGAAATATAAAATGAAAAGGACCAATGAGTGAAAATATAAAGTGTTAAGAATACAAAGATTCATTCTGTTTCCAAAAAACATCTTTAAAACATAAGGTCCAAATAATACTGAAAGACTCAGTTGCAGCAGAATAAGTAGCAAAGTCTTTCTATCTGCAGAACATGTGCATTTATTATCCCCCTCCCCCCAATGAGACTGACCTTTTGATTTGTGACCATTAATTTTCACTTCTCTATTAATCAGTTTACGGCGCAATGTAGCTCCAAGAAAATTTAAGGGCACCCACTTCAGATAGGAAGAGAACACGAGATAACGAAATAACCCATAACACAGCATCTTTTGAAAGTGAGACCTATGTCTACTTTTGGACTAATTTGGTCCCATTCCTCACCATGAAAAGCATTTTGGTTAAAATAAAGGGGACATGCCAAAGAAATGTACAGCATTGCACTGTCACACAGAAAAATGTCTGAATAATGTTATAGTCAAAGGCTTTCATGGCTGGAATCACTCAGTTCTTGTGGGTTTTTTCGGGCTATATGCCATGTTCTAGAGGCATTTCTCCTGACGTTTCGCCTGCATCTATGGCAAGCATCCTCAGAGGTGACCTCACCTCTGAGGATGCTTGCCATAGATGCAGGCGAAACGTCAGGAGAAATGCCTCTAGAACATGGCCATATAGCCCGAAAAAACCCACAAGAACTGAATGTTATAGTCACATTAGGTACAATTGCACTTAATATCTGGACTGAATGTAAACTGGAAATGCAGTTTCAGATCAACTACTAAGTCATTGGTGCATGTACTAAATTTGATACAGTAGGTGGTGTGAAGAAAAATGAAAAAGAAATAAGTCTCTGCTTCAATCTCCTTTGATGGTCCAGGTGAAGAACTTTACTGATGTCCATCCTGAGTATGGCATGTGCATTCAATCTCACTTGGACAAATACAATGCTAAAGGCACCAACAAGGTATGAGAGCTATTTCATCTCAAATTGCTGTGTAGAAAGTGAAGACAAGGGACTGTTTACTAAAGCCATTAAGATGTGAACTGTTATAGACTGAGCTGGGGAAGACATAACCATAAATAGAGGAGAAGGCATATCCTCTATAAAGTGGAGAAAATCTTCATGGTTGTCCAATGGTAACCCTTTGCAACAGAGACTGTGGGAATTGCAGGACTCAACAACTTAGCCTCTTTATGGCTGTACAGAGCTGTGCTTTGGAAATGGCCACTGTCTTTGTGCTGTGTTAAAGCTTAGCACAGCCAGGTCATGGATCAGTGGTTCCCAACCGTTTTTGAGCAGGGACCACATGACCAGGAACCACTTTGACCAGGGTCCACTCTCCAACATTAGTACCAAAAGGGTTACAAAACAATTTTTGGTCAACTTTAGTTTCGGTTTGGTTATTTGGCGTGCTGATTCAGAAAATTTCATTGGATAGACCACATCAGCTCTAGTTTCTGATGCAGAACATATGCTATCCAGTAGCCACCATTTGCTCGCCCACAGAAAATCATATTTAATAATCTAGAGCTGGTGTGGTGGTAGTAATCTTTTGTGGGTAGTCAGTCTCTCCCCTCCCGACATCCCTGTTGCCTCAGCACTATAAGAGGGTTTTGCAAGACCAGTCGCTCTCATTGCCGTATGGTTTCAAGGCAATGGTATAGTAATAGTGAGGTAGCGGACCATATTTTTGTTCTTGGGGACCACTGGTGGTCCACAGACCATAGGTTGGGAATCACTGTCTTAGATAATCTTTTGTGACTTGTCATTTGATTAGAATCGAATAGGTTTAGTTGCCATTGTGCTATTGTACAACAAAATTACATGCTTTCCCCAGCATACACCACAAAACAACACACCCAACCCTCCAAACTGCTACCACCACCACCACCACATAGCCCCCAATGCCACATCTGTGTGAAACCACATAGTTCAACATAGCCAAATCTCTAGGATAAAAGCTCTCCTTGTCTTTGTCACCCAGATGGCAATAATTCAAACAGAGAATAAGTTGGGTGAGATGGATCCCATGAATGCTCTGAGCTTTCTTAAGGCAGTGGGATTTATAAAGTTCTTCCAAAAAATGTTATAGTTAAAATAACCTCGTGCTTAAAAAGCACTGGCTACTTCTATTCATAATTTATGTTGTCTTTTTTTTCTAGGGTTCTGTAAACATCTAAACAAGTTTCATGACAGACTGAAAAGAACTAATCTCTAATTGACATGATCTTGGATTACCATTTCTGCTGATCAGATATAATCTCATGAAATTAATGGCGGTCCAACTGGTCAAATGCTTCCCTGTTTTCTTGAATAATCTTTTAATATCAAGGAGAAACATTTAATTTTGTATTTGTGATAAAAAAAATCCAAATGATAACCATATAAACTGAGGGCCCTTCCAAGCAGCCATATAACCCAGAATATTAACACAGAAAGTCCCACAATATCTGGTTTGAACTGGGGGCAGTTCTGCACATGACTTTAACCCAGGCCCAATTGGGTTTCTTAAATCTGATTGAACATGGGTTACAGTCCACATACTTTCCCCAACATGCACTTTTCTTTGGGGAGGTGTATCCAGATGCCCTATCGGACCTTTCCAGAACATAAAACAAAAACCTCAAGAAAAGCCTTAAAATGCAAACTTTTATTCTGGTGCGTCATTTTTATGTGCAAGGAGAGCTCCAGAGAAGGGGGAATGGTGGCCAAGTAAGTTATTTTTGAGTTGTAAGCCTTTTTAAAGAGGTTTTGGGAGGGGGTGGGGGCAGTCTCATTTTTTTTTTGGGCTCCAGGAGCTCAAAAAACCTGAGACAGCTGTGTGGATTGGTTCGGAAGTTGCGCAATGCGATCCCCGCAGCCAATCCACACGGCGCACACACCTGGAAAGACCTGAATCATCTGAAAGACCTGTGTCTTTCCAGGTGTCAAATTATTTTGGGATAAAGTAGTTTTTTCTGCTTTGTCCTGAATTAATTCATTTTTATCTAAGGCTATTTGACCTTGTTTGGTTAAAACAAGGGTAAAACATGGGTGCTCACACATTTTAGACACTGTCTGAATGCACCCTTGGTTATCTGAGTACATATTGCCATATATTCCAATCAAAAGCAGAAAATGTCTGATTTTATTCCACTGGGTGGAAGGAGCCTAAAGCAATTAATTTCTAAATGTTTTAGGGAGGACTATACTATAGATTGTTAGATTGTATGGGTCCTAAAATTTATTTTTGTTGATTTATAACAGTGTATTTGAGACATTAGCTTGAAAAAAATCTGGATTATAATTACAATACTTAATCAAAAATAAAAGTATTATAATGAAACGAGTTTTGTCTTTTTATGTCCCGGGGCTCTTTCAGACAGGCTCTTTATCCCAGGATCTGATCCCAGGTTTTCTGCATTAAATTGCATTATGTGAGTTCCCACTGCCAGATAATCTGGAATAAACAGAAAACCTGGGACCAGATCCTGGGATATAGGGCCTCTCCGGAAGGGCTCTCAGATGTGTTTTAACATTTGAAACTTTTTACAGGCATTTTCTTTTAATGTGGTTTCATTGGGCCAACTATTTCCTGGGAACAATGCCATGCCACAAACTATACTGAGAGCTATGAAACATCGATCCTGCTGTTATTTTGAATTTCTTTAAAGCTTTTTTTGCATTTAATGAGAAAGGTTGTTTGGTTATGCAGATCCCCAACAACCAGTGACACTCAAAATATATGAATAGAAAATAACTTTATTGGTTGCAGCTGTAAACAAGAGTTGTCCTCACTAATTTGCTACACCACTGTATATAATGGATTTGAGGATCCATGAATTTTCATTTTACAGAGGAAGTTCTAGAAGAGGATTGAAGGAATGTTATATCAGGGAATCCCAAAGGTAGATGCAGACAAGAGCTCTTCTTCTGTTCCCTTTGATCCCCAAGACAGAAGGAATGCAACATTGGGGGTAGGGTGTGGGGTGTGTGGGTAAGAGTAAAAACTGGATTATCCGAGTCCACACTGCCATATAATCCAGTTCAATGTGGACTTCATACTTTCTTCCTTACTTAGGCGCTCCCTCACTGTCCGAGTAAGATAGTCTTCCAAGATCAGTGTACTGGTGGTGGGTCCGTAGGTGACTGTGGAGCCCTATTCTTGATCTGCATCTTCTCCTGCAGTGACGGCATTGGTTTCCAGGTGGAATTTTTTTTATTTTCTTTGGAAGACGCCTGTGCGTGAGTTTTTTTTTAATGTGTGGAGGTCAGTGCACAACTGATCAACACACAGTCTTCACAGAGTGAGGTTCCACTGGTGGCATAGTTTAACATGACGAGTGTGGCTTCTCAATCTGTTGCAGCCTTCTTCCACCTTCACAGCCGTTGTAACATATACCATGTTATCCTCTGCCTGCTCCGCCATTGGATTTTATACAACTATGTGGAAGGGGCCTGAGTTACCAGAACTACAATGCATATTAACAAGAGTGGGGAATAGTTAACTAATCAACCAAACAAATGAATGTCTTTGGTACAACAAAAATTGGTATTCTGTGGAGAGAGATCCACTAGGGCAGTGATTCTCAACCTGGGGTCCCCAGATGTTTTTGGCCTTCAACTCCCAGAAATCCTAACAGCTGGTAAACTGGCTGGGATTTCTGGGAGTTGTAGGCCAAAACACCTGGGGACCCACAGGTTGAGAACCATTGCACTAGGGAATACAAGAGATTCCAAATATTTATTATAGAAATACATTTATATTTTAAATAAGGCATTTTCATTTTAAATTGATTGTCATTTGTTCAAATGTACTTTCTAAGTAAAGAACTGAGAGGTCTAGTATAAGTTTATATGCAAGAAACTACAAGAGGATAACCATATCTTGAAGTTGGGCATAAATAGCTTGACTGGTGATCCGCTCAATTCACAGAATATAGCATTGTTATTCCATTTTACCATGGTAACATCCCCTGGAATCCATGGATTCACAGTTTAAGAAGTGCTCCGGTGCCTCACCAAACTACAAACTACAGGCTTCGATAGTACTGAAGTGGGATAATAGTGCTGCGACTATGAAGAATGAATAATCATGGAAATGGTTGTGTGCGTTCTCGGTTTGCTGTTCAGGTATTACCTACTGGTGGTCAAAAAACTGGAAAGAGGGGGAGCAGTACTCAATGGTTCTTGGGGCATAATAACCATCATGTGATTTAAAAAATGAACTTAATCCTTTCAGTGCTGTAGTAGATGTTAATTGGGATATCTATTTATTACTCTAGGTAAAAGCTAAATGGACTGGAGGCAGGATAGGTGAATGACTTACCTTTCCTCATATGTAGAAGTCCTCTGGCATATTCCACCATCCTACAAATCTAGGCTAGTGGGCACACATGGCAGTGGGTTGAGAGGTAATAAACAAATGCCATAAATTCATCAAATAATCCAATTCAAATAGCTTGCTTGCATGCTCCCCCCCCCCATCTGTCATTTTAAGCTACCTGGTTCCATCTGCTGGTGATAGTAAGTAAGTACCCAAAGAAAGAGAAAATCCTATGAAATGTATGGGATTGCCATAAAATATATTTACAGATACACCTCAGTTGTGTTCCTGTGCATTACTTCTTTAACAGAAAATTTGGTATCAGGTAGTAATAGCATGCAAGAATAGCATGGAAAAATAATCCACAGAAAATATGAGTAGTTCAACATGTTTCAGCAAACTATTTATTAAAAATCATACAACATGCACATGTGAACTGAACCAAGTAGTTCAAGGAAGTGCTGCATAAAACAAGTTTTGAACCTTCTGCCTGAAGACATCTCCCAAAATGTATCTAAGGTTGACTTTTCCTTTTCCAAACTCTGTTTTTGTTATCAGTTCCATTTTGGTGGGCAGATTTATAGTTCTATATTGTTTTCATACTCTGGGTGTAAATGCAGAGGCACGCAATAAGTAATTGAGGCACATAATGAGTAACTAATGTGGTATGCACACAGTAAGACATCTTGGAGATCACACCCAAGTCTAAATAAAAAATATATTTATATTTCACATACTTCTTATATACATAGCCTGAAGGTAGTTTTGTACACCATTTTAATAGTTTTATACATGAATTATTATTATTATTATTATTATTATTATTATTATTATTATTTAGAACTTTTATATACCGGTCTTCTCACCTCCAACGAGGGACTCAGGACGGTTTACAACAAGGGGTTCATACACAATAATTTAAAAACACCACATCAATAATACACTAATATAAACACATTAAAGTACTATCATATAATTATATAAAGTACAGTCATTAGCATAAAAATCACTATTCATCCCCATCTGTCCATGTGGTCAAAAGCCATTGAAACCAAGTTTATGTCCAGTGAACCATAAGAGAGCAGAAGTATCATTAAATAATTGTGGACATTTTTGGGTTTAGGAGAATTTTTCATTTCAGAATTCCTAATAAAGGATGTTCAACCTGTTACATGCTGGTGGAGAGGGGTAAATGATGGGATTTCATTAGCTAAGGTGAAACCTCTTTTTACTACAGGTGTAAAATTTTGGAAGGTAGCAATTTGAGGATAAAAAAGCTAGAAACTGGTAATCATTCAAGGGATGAACGCAGCAAATCCAGTCAGAGTTAAATACTGAGTCTATCTTAGAGAGAGTTGAACACCATACGAAAGAGACAATAATAAGAAAAAAAGATACAAAAGAGACAATAATAAGAAGAAGAAAGCTTCAAGAGCCTCATTTTGGTCAGAACTGTCTATCTCTCAGTTTATCTCTTAAAGACTTTGTAGGAGGAGAGAAAGTCTCTTGTCAGTTAATAAATTCCTTTTTGATTCAACCATGTAGTCTCTGCACAGCCAGTTCTCCTTCCAAGTAGTTAAGATAGCGTTGGGGCATAACAGGGCCCTTGTATCCTGACACTATAATGCAGCTTGGGACCAGTTTAGGTGGAACTGGTTTCACTCTATGCACAATTAGATTGACAGGTACGGAACTGGTTTGAGGCCAGGTGGGTTATTACATTAATCACAGAACTAGGCTTCAAACTACTGTACAGGTTTCTTTTTCATTTTTTGCAGAGATGTGCACACCAGGGTGTATGGGATTTTTTTTTTAAAAGGAAAGCAGTTGAGATGATCAATATTTCTCCCACGGTGTTACAGCCCCTTGTTGCCCAGCCATGCCTTTGGGGTGTTTTTCAGCAGTTCTATTTGGAATTCTTTACTGCAGTTCAGCAATAGTGGGTGTCTACAATGCACTCCGATTTCACCCTGGATCTGGCATATACTGGACTCAGCAACATTGCATTATATGGCTTATCTCAGAGTTTCTTGTGACTTTTTTCATGCACTGTATCCCTTTTAATGCTTGCTTCAGGGCCTTGGTGGTATGTTATTTGTGGCCGCTGTCATTTCGATTAGTCTTGAAGCCACATTATAGTGTCAGAGATGGGGCCTAAGCATGTGGAGTTTTTTTAAATTTTTTTTAATTAAACACCAGATGCATAATTGATGCAAGGAAGAATTGTAGGTATTTCTTGCTCTCAATTACTCCAGTTTCTGTAACTGAAACTTTGTGATTTTTTTAAAATTGTTATATATCACATTATGTTTGAGCTGGGACTTTGGCCTGAACACAAAATTGTTTAAATATACACTGAACTAATAAACATTTCAAACTAATAAACATTTCAAAACCATATTGCATTTTTGGAATTTTAATTAATTATTTAAACATTTCCAGAGACCAGATTCTCAAATGTAGTTGAAAACCAGTAAAAACCACTTTTAAACCCCACATTTTGAAACTGGCTGGAAGCGTCCACGGAAGAAACTATTATTTTTGCAAAACAATACAATCAAACAACTTGATGTTGTTTGACAGTTTCATCTATTTTTGCATTTGCAATATCGGTTTTTGCATCTTGAAGTAGCTTTTGGGGTACTTTCTAGACTTTTTAGCTTTTGGGTGACTATCATGAGTCTTCTAGTCCCAATTAAAAGTACTACTTTGTTTTTGATGTTGTTTTTGCCGAGAACTTTGTCATGTGTCTAGCATGATGTTGATTCTCTGTGTGAAAAGACCCATATCTTTTTTCAATACTTTTGAAGCATCCTCTTTGTTAATAAATTGACTGTGCAAACTCATGCATATCTCAAATGGCATTACCAAATGACTCTTTGTTGGTGTATAATAAAGCAATTCATAGTGGTACTTTCCCAGTTCTATGCACTGAGAGAAAGCTTTGTTTTCTTGATGTCAAGTTCAATAATTGAACTCGTGGAGTAAAGTTCAAGTTCCCCATGCAATTGCTCCATAAACATGAGGGCTACAAATAATGTATTTTATTAATCCCAAATAATTCTGTGGGGGATGTGGGTAGGACAACTATGCCAATTTTGTTAGGTCTGATTAGTTTGCAGTAGAAGTTGGATAGGATCTAAAACTGCTCTCTCCAAAAACTACCTTTCTTTAAGAAAAAAGTGTTTTGGGCTTTAAACAAATATACAGTATTTTTAAGGGGTTTAGCCCTCATTTTGCAATAGTCAAGTGAATTCACTTCTATGATTGTCATGTATCCAATTCTTAATGCCCTTAATGCCCATCTTAAAGGGGATGGTAAGTAGAATTTTCCATATGATGATGACATTTATACAGATATGTGACTCTTATGTATTGTATCAACAACAACATATTCTTTTGTATGCAAGGAACATGCATCACTATGGTTTCCCATCTGTACTTTGAATGTAAAACATATTGCATATATCTTGAGTTTTAAACAAAACTCACAGGAGTCTATTAATATAAAATGGCCCTATAGCTCTACAACACATGAATTGTGAAATGATCAAAGTACACACACAGTTTATAATTAAATATTTTATACACACTCTTTACAGTGCAGTGGGCTGAATATTGATACCAACTTCACATAATAAAACATCGCACCCAATCTACAGCATAGATTTACACAGAACGTGTCTTCCTTTGTTACTTCAGAAGAATACAGAAAGTTCACAGTTGATCATTGTAAAAAAACTTCTTAAATGTCATATGGTAAACTGTCATACAGAATAAATGAAAGATCCAGGCTAATTGTTCCAGAAAATACTAGTGCAATGTCAGTTAATTCCAAGAGGTCAACATCGTTTTTTTAAAAACACCAGGAGATTTGAGCGAAATACATTACAAACCAAAAACACTTCAGTCCAATGCATCACTACTGCCCCTATGTTTTGTAGTTTGGGCAGCCACCTGTATTCCCCCAAAAGTAAAATCACATTATAAAAAAAGGTTGTGTCCAGTGGTGGTGAAGGATAAGATGTCAAGCTGTATATGGTAATTTATATACAGAGGGCTCTTATAGCATTTACAAGATTGAGAAAAAGAAGTTAGGCTTATTAACATCACCTAGGGTGGATCTACAGTGACCCACTATCCCAGGGCTGATTTGGCTCAGGATGATTCAGACAGGCTGCTGCAAATGCTGCTGCAGAGGTGGGAGGGAGTCCTGGTTGACCAGTAGAGACAGCCACCCTTATTGTACTCTCCTGTTGTCCATGTCATCCAGTTACAATGTGGGTCTTACTTTTTTAGCTGTCTCCTGCCATGATATTGGCTAGGGTGATGGACAAGTGGGAAGGGGAAGATTGTGCCCATTCTTTCTCTGATAGTCCCATCTCCCTGACCAACGTCACTGCAGGCAGTGGCTAATAGGTCAGTTTCATTCACAGCTATGTTATAGAGGATAGAAAGGGATTGTAAGTTTCATCCCATGTCCCCAGACCACCCAAACCCCAGGGTGGTAGTGCACAGTTACATTTGGTTCCAGTCTAGAACTGGCCCAACTGTTTAGATGGATCCAAAGTCTGGACCAGAATTTGGTCAATACTCCAACTTTGATCAATGTGGGACAAGGCATGTTACCCTGGATCAGCTCCAGAACTTGAACTTGGAACAATTTATTCTTAGGGTTGCAATCCCCAAAGTCCCCCACTATTGCTATGTTGGCTATTTGATTCAGAGAAGCACATTTCAAAAATACTCCTTCCCCAAGTATTAAGGATATCAAAAGCAGGATCCTGTGCCTGGTAGTACCACCATACAATTATCTTGAGTTGGGAGCTGGCACAGTTATATTTGGAGTTAAAAATAAACAGCTCAGTGATGCAAAACCAGAAATACCTTTTTGTCACAGGTAGCCTACCATTGCACAAGCAAAAGATCACTGATAAGTTGGTGATTTATAGAAGGACATGGCAGTTTTTAAAAACAACATGCAAGGCCCATAAATTGGCATCTAACAAAAGCTGTAAATTATATTCCTGATAACGCTTCTGCTCTGTTGATTTAAAAAGAAAGTTAAAAACATAGTGTTTGTCTTATTTTACCCAGCACCCAAATGTTTAATTCATCAAATAAAAACGGGATGTATTTCAGCAAGATAAAAAAAGGATTTATGCAGGCATATATACAAGGTTAGATACTGCTATGGACTTTAGTCCTGACAAAATCTGTTTACCAAAGGAGATTTATTCTCTGTCAGATTCTTGTGAATAAAGACATAGTGGAGAATGCAAAATACTTTTTTATTTTTAAGAGTATGAAATTGATTTACATATCTTTTATGTCATATGTTTAGAACGAACAAGGATAGAAGTAACAAACTTGACAGAGAAACAGGCAAGACCTACAAAGATGAACAGAAGATAAAATAAAACGTGCTTAACTATTATCTGAGGTAGGAAAAAAATTCCTGAACCCAACAGGCATGATTTCTGTGATGAATCAGTAGAAATGCATTGCTTTAATGGGGTGCTGCTCATAGACCTTCAGTATTATTTTATTTATTTATTTATTTATTTCAATTACTTATACCCCGCCCTTCTCACCCCCGAGGGGGGACTCAGGGCGGCTTACAAACGAAGGCACAATTCGATGCCTAAATCAATTAAACAAACAATACATAAAAGCAATTTAAACAATTAACAGGTTAAAAACATTAATACATAATAAAATATTAAAACAATCTCATGCTCGGGTTCAGAGTCCATATAACCATTCCATTCCATTTGTCGTTGTCTGTCATCAGATCCTTAATTTAGCTGCCAGTGTGTCCAAAGGCTTGGTCCCAGACCCAGGTCTTCAGTTGTTTCCTGAATGCCAGGAGGGAGGTCGCCGATCTAATCTCCCCGGGGAGTGAGTTCCACAGGTGGGGGGCCACCACTGAGAAGGCCCTGCTCCTCGTCCCCGCCAACCTCACTTGTGAGAGTGGCGGGGTCGAGAGCAGCACCTCCCCAGAAGATCTTAAGCTACGAGGTGGGATGTAGCGGGAGATACGTTCGGACAAATACACTGGGCCGGAGCCGTATAGGGTTTTATAGGTCAAAACCAGCACTTTGAATTGTGCTCGGAATTGGATCGGCAGCCAGTGGAGCTGGCGCAACAGGGGGGTGGTATGCTCCCTGTACGCCGCTCCGGTGAGCAATCTGGCTGCTTCTCGCTGGACTAATTGAAGTTTCCGGGCAGTCTTCAAAGGCAACCCCACGTAGAGTGCGTTGCAGTAATCCAACCGGGATGTGACAAGAGCGTGGACCACCGTGGCCAGATCAGACTTCCCAAGGTACGGGCGCAGCTGGCGCACAAGTTTTAATTGTGCGAAAGCTCTCCTGGCCACCGCTGAGACCTGGGGTTCCAGGCTCAGCGATGAATCCAGGATCACTCCCAAGCTGCGAACCTGCGTCTTCAGGGGGAGTGTAACCCCGTCTAACACAGGCTGTAACCCTATGCCCTGTTCGGCCTTACGACTGACCAGTAGGACCTCTGTCTTGTCTGGATTCAATTTCAATTTGTTAGCTCTCATCCAGTCCGATACAGCGGCTAAACACCGGTTCAAGGTCTGGACAGCCTCCTTGGTGACAGGTGAGAAGGAGTGACAGATTTGGACATCATCTGCATAGAGATAACATCTTAGTCCGAAACTCCGAATGATCTCTCCCAGCGGCTTCATGTAGATGTTGAATAACATCGGGGACAAAATTGAACCCTGTGGGACTCCACACAACAACGGTTGTGGGGCCGAACAGGTGTCGCCCAAAGACACCTTCTGGGTCCGTCCCTCAAGGAAGGATCGAAGCCACCGCAAAGCAGTGCCTCCGATCCCCATGTCCATGAGGCGCCCCAGAAGGATACCGTTATCGATGGTATCGAAGGCCGCTGAGAGGTCCAGCAGAACCAACAGGGACACACTCCCCCTGTCTAGTTCCCTGCGCAGATCATCTACCAAGGCGACCAAGGCTGTCTCATATAAATACTATATTTAGTATTAAACTAAATATAGATACACTCAGAAGCAGTACTAATGAGTTCAGTAGTATTCACTTTCTAGTAGCTCTCTTTATGCTTCTTGCTGATTCCACTGGACTCATCCAAATGTGTAACCAAAAATAAACATAACCTCCCTCTAAAAAATAGCCCCACTTCAATATGGCACAATATCTTGCTCTTCTAAAGGTATGTGGGAGGTGGTGTCAGCAGCTTCCGAGGAAGAAATGCTAATATTTCAGCTGCAGATCTGTGCCTCAATTTCAGCCAAAAAAATTGTCCCAAAAGAACCCTCTGAGATATAATTACAATATGGGTTTCGGCCATGTTCAGATTTGTTTCAATGGGTAGGGTAAGGTTTGAGAATCAGGGGAGATTATATTTAATACATATACTTATTATGATATAGTGGCTTGAGTGTTGGGGTAAGACTCTGGAGACCATGGTTTAAATCCCTCTTGGGTGACACTGGGAAAATCCCAATCTGTCAGCCTCAGAAGAAGCAAAGGTAAATCCCCTCTGAACAACCTTATCAGGAAAACCCCAGTATAGGTTTGCCTTAAGGTCAAATTACCTGAAGGCACACAGCAACAACTATTTGTAATCTACCACTCTAGTTAACTAAAACAATATACATATTGCTTAGAAAAATGTTGGAGGATGGGGAAGGGTTGGTTCTGAAAATAATACATATGGAGGCAAGGGTCCAATCGGGGTTGGAAAAAAAAAGGGAGTCCTACATTTACTTTTCCTGACATAGAAGGATGTAAATATGTGTGAAATAAACTATTCCTTTAAAAACGTAATTCATTTGAAATATTAAGCCGTCCCCAAGTAAGTCAGAATACTTTATCAAAATGGAGGAATTTATGAAGTCAAATACCATTTGACTTAAGATGGATCTACACTGCCATATAGTGCAGTTTCAGAATGGAGATTAATTTCATTGAACTAGATCCACACTGCCATATAATCCTGTTGAATGAAGTTAGTTTGCATTCTGAAACTGTATTATATAGCAATGTTGAGGCTTGATGAGTCCCTAATATCTTTCCTCCCAGTAGACACTACAGACTGGAGATGCAAACTACAGCTTTATTTCTGGCTGGAGCAAAACTGAGGGTGACCAGCAAAGAAATAAATGTGCCATGAAATCCGAGATGCAGCTCAGTGCTTTATAGTCAGAACTTTTTGAACATGTACAAAGTTCAGTGAATCTTTTCTTTCTTTTGTTCTTTCCTATCAGCAGACACAAGGATTACCCCCTCTTCAACCCTTCCTGCTGAGATGTCTAGTATTTTTCCCTTCAAGGCCCTCTCCGTCCCTCTCTCTGCTGCCCTTCTCCTTTCTAGCTTGTAGGTCATCAAACCCTCCTCTTGAACCTTTCCCTCAGTTTCATCTCTTCAATTGCCTATAAGACTCCTGCTGTGCTCTGTTTTGTCTAGCAGAGACTGGCAGAGTGAGCTTCAGATCCTCTTCTCAAATCCTCCAATTCCCCCCTCCCTCCTGTCTCAATCTTCCTTTTTAATTTGCTTAAAACTTGATTCTTATAAAATTCACATTTATAAAATTTCATTCTCTTCAGCAGTGTAGATCCAGTCTTAATAGAACCAACTTGAACAAGTACTAAAGACTTGCACTAAAGTGCATACAGCGAGTGAAGCACCATGTGTAATAGTAAACACTGATAAACTTATAGTGCCTTTTCATCAAAAGTATGCCCTATTGAGTTCCACATCCTGGTTCCTGGATACAGCATTGCAAATATAAGGGCCCAGTTTGAAAGGGGTTCAAATGATGCCCATTCATTGCTTTAAAAATTAGTGAAGTGCATTTTGAGAAAATCTAAATACAGTTTTATTTTGTATTCTTGATTTTGATTGGCTGAAGAGATAGGTTTCCTCACCGAAAATAATGCCTTTATTCATTCAGAGAGCAATTGTGTTGATGCTACTTCATTTCCCTCTACAATAAACTCATTAAATGTGAGAGGTAGTTACAAATTCCTGCCTACATTTAAAGATATTCTGTATTTTGTTTAATGGTCAGTATAGCTTCACCTGCATTAAATCTCTGCCTATTCATGAAGTATTGTTTTGACAATCTATGGTCTTTAGAATAGATGAACTTCATGCTTCATATGCATATCATGAAAAAACTGGTGGAGCAACAGGATAATTATAGCAAACAGTTACTCCATAAAAGGTGAAATTACTCTTAGATATGCTAGAATACGCAGAGAATTAGGATACAGGCAAAGGGCAATGAACCCTAGTACTGCCTGCAGCAAACCAAGGGATGTGTACTTATTTTCAAATGGTAACATGGTTCAGCAACCAATAACATGCTTTTCAATATCCCTTAGAATTCCCAACAGCAATGGTAAAATTATGGGATTTAATGGTAATGCCAAGCTGCCATTCTGGACATTGTGGGCATTGCTACGCATGTTACTTCAAGCTATGAGAAATATCAATGGAGCTGTCTACCAGTGTTTAGTAAGTGCTGTGCAGGTGATGGTGCTCATTGAAAAATGGAGAATTCAAAAACAGCTTATTAAATCCTCCAACCCAGAAAGTCTCTATTGATGTTATTTTTTCCAGTTATTTTGAAGAGATGTCCACCTTGTAATCTAGGGACATTGTGCAGACAAGATCCCTTTACTGTGGCCAAAGACTTCATGTTGGGTACTGGACAGTGAATCTGAAGTAAACAGTATTTCATAATTTGCTTTCTTGCCATCCGTGTGCATTCTTCCCAAACTTGTACACTAACCGTCTGTCCACTCGTTCCAAAATGCCAGTTTTGTAATAGTACCTGCAACAACAAAATTGAAGTTGGACTCAGAGTTACCTTTACCATATATTGTGTAAGAGGTGTATGTGTAGCAATCATCATAACATTTTCCTTCAGAGAGGAAAAGGGGGAAAGCTTGCAAACCTACAGTACAAAAATCCAGTAAGCTTCTCAGAGCCTGAAAACTTTCCCAAGTTGCAATGTTACTCCCCCTCTAAAGTAAAGAAAAATGAATTTCTGGAGGTACATTTCTTTTTTTGATAGAACAGAGTAAAGTAAGCTTCTAGCACATTTGCTAAAACAAGTGTAATGTCGATATATTGGCAAATAATTATTAGATTTGTATTGTCAAAGGCTTTCATGGCCGGAATCACTGGGTTGTTGTAGGCTTTTTTGGGCTATTTGGCCATGTTCTAGAGGCATTCTCTCCTGACGTTTCGCCTGCATCTATGGCAAGCATCCTCAGAGGTTATGAGGTCTGAAAGCAAGACAAGACCTCATAACCTCTGAGGATGCTTGCCATAGATGCAGGCGAAACGTCAGGAGAGAATGCCTCTAGTACATGGCCATATAGCCCAAAAAAACCTACAACAACGCAATTATTAGATTAGTCAACAGTTTATAATCTGTTGACTAATGTGTCATTCTGTCTATATATTTGATCCATAGGAATGGCCTCACGATCTTTAACAAAAAGCCACAACTCCCTCTTGTGATCTTTGTGTTATGTAATATAAGAAATTGGTTACCTTGTATAACGCTATGTTTTGTATTAACTTACCGGAGTGCTCTGCTTAGTTTTTCATAGGTCATTCTGTCATTTTTCTTCCTTTGCCCCCACATCTTGGCCAGAGCATCTGATTTAATGACACGAAATATGCCTTGGTCCCTGTCTTCCCATTCAAGTATACCACCGTTTTCCTCAGGCGACAGGAGGAGGTCTCTTACAAATTCCCACAAGTGAGAGCTTTGTAGACCTTCAAATATAAAAGGAGCACTTTAATGATCTTTCTTTGTTAAAAAGTCCTTTTATCAAGTTTATAAAAATGCCATTTCAAAAGCAAGACAACAAGTCCTACATACTACAGAGGACATTTATAACCATGGTGCTATATATAGGGGTAACCAGGAGAGGTTGCTGTGACATAATGTGGAGGGGAAACATGCCTATATCCGATCTGTTCCCATGCCAGACATAAGTGGCCTAGGATTGCTCTACTGAAGTATTCAGAATGCATGAATGCTCTCCTCTTTCTCTCTCCTAAGATAATTTATAAGTAGGAAAATATAACAATATATCAAGTGATTATTGTCAACATGACATTAATAAAGTTCACAAGGGAGATAGCCTGTTGGTACTTGCTAAGGTAGGTTACAGTGACATGTATCATCAGAATTTATTTTGAAAAAGGACATGGAGGGAACTCAATGCTATCACTCACTATCTTTGTGTAACTGCATTATATCATCTTATATATGATAACATCCCCATAGTACAAAGCTTGATTTCCAGGAATCTTGAGTTTTGAAATGCCTGAAGAAAACTAGGATAATGCTGGTAGACAAATAGATTACAAGAATAAATGTGCTTGAGTCATTGCTTCTGAGTTCCTGCAGGTTAGGAACTGCAGGAAGTAAATGGTGAGTGACATTACATCAGATGTAAATATCAGATGATGTCTGTCTGACCCTTTTGATTTTCGAGTTTGACATGAATGAGTGTCAGATGAATTTCAGGCATGCATTTGTGAAGAGGTAGGAGATTAAGATATTCATATAGCAGAAGATATTCAGCAATGGTCCTACTTCAGATCTGGGTATCATTGATATGCCAAACTTATTCATGATGATAGGTGGTCACACAATAAATACTAGAAGAATTTGAAAATGGAATATGTTGCCTCAAAGTGTGGTGGAGTCTCCTTATTTGGAAGTTTTTAAACAGAGGCTGGTGGCTGGCTACCTGTCAGAAATGATTTTGATTATGTGTTCCTCCATGATATGTATGTGTGTGTATGTGGTTTTTTTTTTTGGGGGGGGGTGTCAGACTGGGTAGCTAATCTAGATTCTATGTGCTATTTACTCCTCTTTGTCCAGAAGTCCCCTAAACCCTCCTTTGACTCTATGACTCTGTTTTTACTCAGTTATGAGTATAAAGTTGTTCTGCATTTCAAATGCTCCATGATGTTCCTTTACTTTCTTTGTTCATTCTAGCAGTTCAATGATAAAATAACAATTTCTTTTGTAAAGACACAGGCCCTCTGTGACACAAATTCAGCACCTGAAGCTTTTTCAATTGTAATTATGGACCAGAAAGTAATATATTGAATTTGTACTGACTGTGCGGATGCTTAACAACTAGTAAATACATTAAAAGCCATGTTAGAGATATTCCATTCTTCAGTTTATTTGTAGAACAGTCAAAGCCTGCTTTTCAGGATAACACTGTAATAGCTATCTTAAGCAAGTGTTTGTTATATATATTATCTGGGATCTGTTTGCTGCTGCAGTGACTGCCTCAAGAAACTGTTGCATTTATAAGTCCCATGGTAAAATTACAATGATTAGATTCTTGTTTTCAAAAGTAAAAATCATATAAACAAGAGAACTAGTTGTTTGGTAACAGATTGCAAACAGAGCCACATCCCCTTAGACAGTGTTTCTCAACCTGGGGGTTGGGGTCCCTGGGGGGATCATGAGGGGGTGTGTGTGTGTGTCAGAAGTGTTATCAAAGACCATCAGAAAACATAGTATTTTCTATTGGTCATGGGGGGTCTGTTTGGGAAGTTTGGCCCAATTCTGTCGTTGGCGAGGTTCAGAATGCTCTTTGATTGTAGGTGAATTATAAATCCCAGTAACTACAACTCCCAAATATGAAGGTGTATTTTCCCCAACTCCACCAGTGTTCACATTGGGGCGTATAGAGTATTTGTACCAAGTTTGGTCCAGATCCATTGTTGTTTCGAGTCCACAGTGCTCAAGATCAATGTCCAACAAACCCTTCCAGTATTTTCTCTTAGTCATGGGAGTCCTATGTGTCAAGTTTGATTCAATTCCATCACTGGGGGAGTTCAACAAGCTTTTTGATTGTAGGTAAATTATAAATCACAGCAACTCCAACCCCACTCCCCAACCCCACCAGTATTCAAAGTTGGGTGTATTAGGTATTTGTGCCAAATTTCATCCAGGGAATGAAAATACATCCTGCATATGAAATATTTACATTATGATTCACAAAAGTAGCAAAAGTACAGTTTTGAAGTAGCAATGAAAATAATTTTATGGTTGGGGGTCACCACAACATGAGGAACTGTATTAAGGGGTCGTGGCATTAGGAAGATTGAGAACCACTGCCCTAAAACATTCATATGCAAGATCTTTAGATGGCAGAATATACCTACTTGTTCTATTATGGCTTTGAAACTCTGGACTCCTGATGGTGCCTGTTCTCAAACATGCTTTATCATTATCTGAAAAAAATGTTTTAATTGATATAAATAAATATGGATGGATTTCAAGGTCTGGTGATAATATGATTTAAAGGAGTCACTATGTGCATCCAATGAAATGTCATGCAATACTGAATCATCATGAGTCTGAAATTTATCTCTGAATTAAAATTCAACTTTACCATCAAGATAAACCAAAGTGAATGATTAACCAACGACTTAGTCCATTAGCTGAACTGGCTTCAGCAACATGAAGAATAAAAAGAATGGCTCACCAGTGACTAAACTTGAATGAACTTACAAACATAGTAATCTGTAAACACAAAGTGTCCTGATTAAATCTACCTGTAAATAGTACTTCTGCCTCCAGTATGACCTCAGAGCCATTGTCATGGAGGGTAACGGCTTGTAGAAAAGATGTTGCGTGCGGGCTTCTGTGGTTGGTTAATTTGTGACCTCTGCACTATCCTGTTTCCATTCCTGAAATTCAGCAAAGACTTTTCTTTCCTTGCATGTGTGGGTCTTACTTCACAACTTGCACCCAAATGTTTTGTAAACATACAGGTCTGACTAGCTGGCAACTTACACAACCTGAGTAAAATAGGGTTATAATTACAGGGGTTTTGAGACTGAGTCAGATTTGCGTATTACCAAAGCCGTATCAATCGCATGCAAAGTAGGTCCCATTCATTCATTTATATAGCATTCCCAGTGTTTGTTCAGAGTGAAAGTCAGCAACAGAAAGAGAATACATAAAACCACAATAATAAATCAGGTAAAATAAAAAGTGCTTCAAGCATTCAGAAAAAAAGTCCTCTAAAGGGGGAAATTCCCAGACCCTGACTTAAAAAGGACTTGCCCTCTCTACCTTTCTGTGGAAAGGGTGAAAAGATTGCTTAATTCCAGGATGTAGTTCCATGGCCTCGGGGCGATGACTATGAAGGTTCTGTTTGTAGCACCAGATTTCTTATTTCGTCAAACTGCACTTTTAAATTTTACACTATGTAACACGATTTTTGTTTCTGGGTTATAAATGTCATTTCTTAATTGGTTCTATCACAAAAACATGGAAAAGGTTTATTAAACTGCCAAAACTTTGTGTTTTTGTGGGACATCCTGCAGCTCATCCTGCTATAGTTTTTCAATGAATATTCATTTCCAATTCGACATAGTTTGTGGCAGCCACAAAAATGAAATTTATGACATATAACAACTTCTTTCAAAGTATGTACTATACAGTTAAACAGGAATAACACTTTCAAACCAGGAATAGAACTTTTTTCAAATTTAGTTACATAGTGTTATTTGCAGATTTGATTAATATGTTATCTCAAGAAATTTTCAGGTCTTCCATAGCACTCTATGGTCAGGTTCTGGGGGAATTTGAGAATAGAGTTGCACTAGTAGGCCTAGCGATTATCAGAAATCATTCTGCTATTGGCATTTGTAGGTCCTCTAGTATGATACTCTGGTCATCTTCCAGCAGAACATGACCATAGAGATGAATTGGAGGATGTAGATATTCCTAGAAAGGTATTCTCCTGGAAAAAGCCTCCCCTCCCCAGTTTTTCTCCATTAAAGTGGAGGGCTTATTGTAATCCAAAATTGATTGCAAGTCCAGCAACTGTAGTCAAGATAGCCAATGATAGGGGTTGGTCAAAGATGAGGTCCAACAATATCAGGTGACATTTCCCACCCCTGGCCTTATTGAACTGTAACTGCACCAAGTACACCAAAGGCTGCATAGACTTCCATCTCTTGGAATTGAAAAGCTATGCTACAATACAATGCCAGCTGGGTCATCTTAAAAACAAACCCCATTTGAAGTACCTTATATAAGTCAAGCCTGGAAGCTACATTTAGTGTGGCAAAGTTCCTGTCCACCAAGACTACATATAGCAGATGTAATTTAAAAAAAACAAACCCAACAACAACAAAAAACAAAATCATGAACTGGCTCTTAAAGCCAAGCAATGCTGATACTAGCCTGCCTAGATTCAAACAGCACCCCTCTCCATAAAACAGGTACTATTAAACCAGAACTGAGAGTAATTCTAATTTAATGGTCATCAGCTTTGCCCTTCCAAATCTTTTGGAATACCTAGAATTCAGTATGCTTTGTTGACAGTTTTGAGAAATGAAGTACAAGACCATCAACCAAGCAAAGTGAATTGTTTCTTGGCCTTTTGGCTAAGATTAAATGTAAGCACAAGATATTTGGAGCATGAAATCTGGAGGGCCCCTGTTGGAGAGCCACAGAATAAATATCATCAAGTTATTATAAGAGTTATTATCAGCTGCTGTATATGGTTGATTTGCCTTATGGATATTGTAAAGTGCCATGTATTATTTGATGGCACTAAATAAATAGTAGTAGTAGTAGTAGTAGTAGTAGTAATAGAAATATACTCCATTTAAAGTTTACTTACATTCTTTTTCAGATGATTTTATATATTCATTGTCCTGAAAAAAGGAGACTCCTATAGAGAAAAAACAACAACATTAAAACCAATATTTCGGTTTTAAATAAATTGATTGTATGTAAAAATCTAAAACCTTAATCAAAAAGAGACTTTTAAAACTAATTTTCTGGTTGGCTGCTACAGTACTAAAATTTACATTCATTTATTCAGTCATTCAGCTTTTACTCCCTCCAGCTTCCCAATATAGATTTTAAAGAAGGACTTCCCATTTGTGTTGCAGATTTATCCACCTATCCATAATACTAGATTGGATTTTGTACTTATAGTACATGTACGTTTCTGTGGCTGTCTGCTGAAGTCACAAACACATTAGACACACCCAGAACAAGGCAATGATTTTGATGAAAGTTTTTGCACACTCACCATGAGCCTTGATATTCTGTAGGATGAAGTATAAGTATTCGCCACAAACACCTGCAGCATTTAAAAAGTCCTCTTGGGTCATGCAGCACAGTTGTTGCCCGTTTATATTAAAGTGGGAAAAGGAAATGCAATTGGCATCCAATTTGTATTGATCACAGCAAAACTGTAGCCACTCACAGACGTTGTGTCGTGTCCAGTACTCTGGGTGAACTGCTGTCCAAGTGGAATTACAACCTGCCACAATGGAATAGAGGGAAAAAGGAATACACAGTAACATTTTAAACAACGGATTTCTTTTAAAAAAAGAACAAAAATAGCAAAGGAATGCAACCAAATAATCTCTCATCGCAGTACCTTCTGGATGTGGTGGACAATAGAGGCCCATCAGCCCAACCCAGCATTAGACAACCCCCTTTGATCTTGCCAAGAACCCCATTTTGGTTCATCTCAGGGTTGCCATTAGTTGGTAACAAGTTCAATACACAAATCACTCATAATCTATTTTACCTGAGGAATGGATACGTTTGTGAGGTGTGCACTTTTTGTTTCAAAAAAATACTACATTCATGCATACCCATAAAAGAGATCAAAACGGGCTCTAAATGTTGAGATTCATTTGCTTTTGAATCCATATTTGGAATAACTATTCACATGATGTGGGCAAGAAGCTTTGATGACAAGTAACAGATTAACTTCCTCCCTGCTGCTATGTATGCAATATCCATCATATTGTAAAACAATTGCCCCCTCCCTCAAAATTTAGCCATATTTTTAGTATGCTGGGCAGATTCTGGTTCAAGTTTATATTCTATTCATATTTCACTCTCCTCCTATTTTGAAATATGTCACATTCTTGGTTATTATTAATATTGACAATCTGAAACAGTAACCTATGGTTTGCCAATTGACTGTCTTATCAGCTCAATCTATAATGATATAGAGTCTATCACCTGTTGATAGACTCTATAAGCTAGCTGGCATTTCCCCCCCCCCCTTCCAATGTGTGATGGGAAATTGAAGTCAATGTGAGAGAAATAAGTTTGAACACTGTGAATGGCTATCAGCCTCCTTCCAGAAGCCTCAAATCAAGGAAATGTTTCATGAGAACCATCCCTCCTCTTAATGTTCCCCCAGGAAAAGCAAGAGCATCCCTCTGGGCAGCTAAACCAGAAAATCCCAACTGGATGGCCCCCACAAGGGTCTGCCCCCAGAGGCAAACTAAGGATGGGCAACTTGGAAATCCCTGAACAGACTCAGAAGTGGAGTGGGCTGATCAAAAGACAACCTGGCAAAATGGCACTACCTAAAAGAATCCTCCACCTTCTGAGACTGTGAAGCAGAACAAACAGGTCCACAGCTGTATGATTGTCCACAATGCCCTGCCTCACGTATAGAGGAAGGCTTCTTTAAAGCTACAGACAATGTGGTCACTGCTGCCCGTTTTTGGTCAAAAATTATTTAGTTACTTATACTCCTATTTTATCAGGTTTATACTAATTTATTTATGTAATACTTTTGACACGAAATAAAATAAAAATCAGCTCTATGTAACTCTGATAAGTATGAGCTTTTCCTTCTTTTACTGTAGATGTTTTTCTTTTGCTATTTCATTTTTTTATTTTTATTCATTGCAATGTTAACTCCTATATTCATTTTATTACTATTTATTAGTATTATCTTGATACCTTGTATTACTTTTACACAGAGGCACCAACGCAACTGTTTCCCATAAGTTTACCACTTCACTCCCATTTCCATGGTAGGAGATTACCCACAGATTAGAGTGCTAGAAAACAATGCATACTTTCTGGATGAGAAACAAAATAGTTCATAACTAATATTAGCATATGTTTTCCTGGCATGATATTTTCAACAATTACATATGAATAGGTACCACAAAAATAATATTTTTTAAAAAAAGAAAAAAGAAGTACAGAAAACAGAACAACATATACCTAGCCTGAATTCATTTAGCGTGTACATTTGAAAAATGCACACATAAAGCAATGTGCTTATAAATGCATATTAAATATATGTACAGTCTTTTCATTAGAACTCACAGAATCACAAAGTTAAAAGAGATGACAAAGAAGCAAAAACAGAGTGTCACAGCCTGATATTAACTAAGCACTGTATGAAAGGATGTAAAGGAACCCAATACAACCTTTTTAGACCATAAAAGTTCTATCCTATCATACTACATAGTCAAAGAGCTATTGTTCCATGCTAACTGCTATGACAACATTATGTGGAATTCTGTAGTCTGTAGTTTAATGAAGCCCAAGAGTGTCTGGCTGACAAGTATAAATTCCCTTTCCTAAATTGAAAATTCCATACAATGTTGCCATGGAAAAGTGGAATATAGTCAGCCCTCCACATTTGTGAGTTTATCTTTTGTAGATTTGATTATTTGTGGATTTAATTAATATATTCTCTTTAGGAATTTATAGGTCCTCTAAGGTGGCTCTTTGGGCAACTTGCACTGGAGGTTACCATTGAGTCACTCTGAAGGACCTAGAAAATTCCTAGAGATGAGATCTCTCATGGAATTTTACGTTGTTCATCATGACTCTATGGTAACTTCTGGTGGAGGTTGTTCATTTCAGTAGAGTCTGCTGTTATCCACTAGTTCAGAAATGTATTCCCTGTGGATCCAGGGTCATGCCAAATACATTTTCAAAGTGGTTCCCAAAACCCTATTTGAGAAACTGAAAGAAAGATAAACTATGAACCACACCAGAGAGGTCAACTGTGGATAAGAAGGACATAGTAAGACTCTGGTCTTTGTGTATGGTTACTTCAAACCAGTGACTGCTCCATGGAATGGAATTGGACTCTGGGCTCTTATAGGGAGAGGCAGCTTCCAAGGGATGTGTATTGCAGATTCTAAAAGCCTTTAAAGGTGAAAACTAACACCTTCTACACACCAGTTTAATGCATGGAAGCCTTGCCCAGTTAGTATCTAGTAACAGAGGGCCCATGTATTCAGTGCATTTTAGAATCAACTTGTTTTTTTTCATTGGCACAGCATAACTCTATTCAGTCATCATTGTTTCATGGGAAAATGATCTAGCTTTTCTCAGAATCCTGGTGTGGTATGATTTATGATATCAATGCTACCAATGTGTCAAGGCTATGCCACTACATGTTATTAGGCTGACATGACATAACTGGGTTATATCAGAAAATAGATCCAGTGCTGGTTTCTTACCAGATTTTTTATAGTATAGCTTTTTCTTGCAGTACAGAGGAGAATAAACAGATTTACTGGATCATTCCCTTTGTTCCAAAGATATGCCAAAAGGATTAAATTGATTGTATTGTTATTTATGCAATAATGTGTCCTAATTCTAGTTACGACACAACTGTGAAAAGATCTTAGACAGATGTAGTCTAAGTAATTGGTATTTGGAATAGTTCATGTATGTTTCAGCCACTCCTGTAATTTGATCAAAGGGTTAGGGGAAAAGCTCTATGCTGGCCCAGCTAATACAGTGAAGAACAGGCTACTCTGTCCTGCTAATCATAGGTATTCTCAATCAGACCTTTGAAGAACAGGAAGTGAACATCATAGGAGGAGAACTGGAAGAGACCACAAGGGCCATCCAGTCCTACTGAGCTCTCTGCAATGCAAGAACACACAACACAGCACTCCTGACACATGACTATCCAGCCTCTGTCTTTTCTTACAGGGGTTCAATTGTCTCTAAGCCCATGCTGAAGCAAAAAACAACAGCAGTTTCGCAAATACTCCATCATTTTCACGTGGTCAGTATATGGGTCACAGATTGCATCGGCAATGCATACTGTTCATTGTATACAGGGAGCTGTGACTAATTTCAGGTTTCCTGCCGAAAGGATCTATGTTATCATTGTCCTTCAGTATTGTAAAAAGACCGCACTGTATCTGGATAGGGACTGTATGTGAAGTACAAAGTAGAAATGCATACAATTTAAACAAAGCAGACAGATATGGTTATGAAAAAAACCCAAACATTTACATTTGTTGGGTGGCATTAAAACACTGTAGATAACAATAAGAGTGAAAGAAAAGGTGATTAAGAAAGAGAAGAAAGGATGCAAACCATGAAGGAAAAAGAAAATAATTTGCAATGTAACAAAATCTGAATTAAAAACACTAGATGCAGTTTACTATGTTGGGAGCACATTAAGAAACCATATATGTACCCACCTATATGATGATCAAATGAATAGTAGTTTTCTTCTGTTGTTCCAACGAGTTCTGACCAAGATACCAGAGGTTCACATATCATTGTGTTAGGGAGGTAGGCATTGTGGCTTACAGAATCCAGCATCATTCTAAAATATTAAATTATTATTCATATGTTATTAACAGTATTCTCTTCTAATTTATATACACACTATGACAAAAAAATAGTTCTCATTACCAGAGGCGGCCCTAGGTAATTTTCAATGGTAAGCAAACAGTATTTTGGCGCCCCCCCTCCCCCAAAACCAATCACTATCTATCTATCTATCTATCTATCTATCTATCTATCTATCTATCTATCTATCTATTATCTATCTATGGGGGCATGGACAAATTTTGGCCCTCCAGGTATTTAGGACTTCCTACTGGCTGTTTGGAATTGTGGGAATTGAAGTCCAAAACACATGGAGGGCTGAAGTTGGCCCATGCCAGCCATACATACACACACACACACTAGCCATCCCCTGCCACGCGTTGCTGTGATCCAGTCTAGTGATCTTGAAAAGAAAGTAATAAGAAAGTTGGTTTCTAATATATGTAATTTCTTAATGCTTGTGGGTAAATAGTATTTCTTGTTGTTTCTTTGTCAGTGTTGATGTAGTTCCAACACAAAATACTGAAGGGATTTGGGGAAAATAGACTCTGATACTGGAGGGGTTTTGGGGAAACATGTACAATAATTTAGATTTGCAGTACCTTCAGTCACTTCCGTTCATGAAGAAACCTCCTTGCCGCCCTGAGAGGGGTGATGGCACAGCTGCCTGGAGAGGCACTTGCAATGCTGCCCCTCTTCACACAGGAGAAGAGGCCCTGTGCTCCATCGGCTCCTGGGTATGCGCTTTGCATTCTCTTCCCCCACACGCTTTGCAACTCCGGGAGAGGGACACGCGCCGGCATTACCAGGCGCACGGAAAAAGAGCCCTCATGCAGGGAGCATGCTCTCCCTCCATCCTTCCCTCACAAGTGCGCACGTTGTCCTCCTCTCCTCCTCCTCCTTGCAGGCCAAGGGAGACAACAACGCCAGTGTGCATCCTTCTCCCAGCGTTAGGAAGTGCATGGAGAAGGAGGGCGATGCAGGGCGCACATTTCCTAATGCCGAGAGAGGGATGCGCAGCGGCATTGCCGGGCACGTGGGAAAAGAGGCCTCGTGCATGCCTCTTTTGTGTTTCATCTTGGGTGCTATCTTTGAAATGTGTCATTGTGTATGTAAACAGCTATCCCATGATCCCAAACATTTTATTTATTTATTTACAGTATTTGTATACTGCTTTTCTCACCCTCAGGAGGACTCAAAGTGATTTACACACTTCTAGTTCAAAGCACTTTGGATCAGGGATACTCAACCTGTATTACATTACAAACTGCTAGACCGGCTGTTAGGTATTGTGGGAGTTGAAGTCCGAAACACCTGGAGGGCTGAAGTTTGCTCTTGCATGTGCTTGACCCAGAAGCAGATGAAGAGCCCTCCTTCCATCCAACTGCCACTGCTTTGGCCTTGGAGAAACAGGTGGCATGTGAAGCCATGGAGCCCTTCCAGACAGGCCCTATGCCGCATTATCACAGGGTGTTTACGCCCTACACCACTGGAAAAATTATACTGCCTAGCCGGTATTGCGCCACCTGACATCCGCCGGGAAGTGGCGGCCAATAGTGAAAGGACCAAGGCAGAGACATCTCCAGCTCATCCCCTGTTTGGGTATCAGCCAGCACGTCAACGACTTAAATCTAGAAATAGTTTTCTAAGATCTACAGAGACACTCGCTGGAACACCTCAGCAAGCGAGAGTCCAAAAGTGGCAGCCTCAAACCCAGCACCTCAGCCCATGGCTGATACCAGATGAGAGACTCCACCCTGGGCACACAGAGGACTGGGCGACTTGGAAGGCGCTGAACAGACTGCGCTCGGACACCACGAGATGCAGAGCCAACCTTCAGAAATGGGGCTACAAAGTGGAATCCACGACATGCGAGTGTGGAGAGGAGCAAACCACTGACCACCTGCTGCAATGCAACCTGAGCCCTGCCACATGCACAATGGAGGACCTTCTTGCGGCAACACCAGAGGCACTCCAAGTGGCCAGAGACTGGTCAAAGGACATTTAATCAACTACCAAGTTTGCAAAATTTTGTAATCTGCTTGTTTTGCTTTGTTCTGTTAGAAATGTAACATAATTTGACTGGTTGTTCTGACATGACAAATAAATAAATAAATCCCAGGTTTTCAGCTTTAAACTGGATCATATGAGTCCACTCTGCCAGATAATCCAGGATAAACAGAAAACCTGCAATCACATCCTGGGATATAGGGCCTGTCTGGACAGGCCCTTCATCCCTTCCCACACTGGCATCCCTTTGCCTTTGTGTCATGTTTTAATTAAATTATACACCTAAGGGCAGGGGAGCATTTTGTTGTTGCTTTACTCGTACAGTGACAGTGTTACACAGTTGGTGTTCTGCAACCACTGCTTCAACCATCCATGGTTTGAAAACATTTTTTTTTAAAAAATCCCAAAGCAGTCTTTGATTTTGCCACTTTGTACTGTGGAAATATAAATATAGAGCTCCATAGTGTCTCGTCCAACAGCAGTTGGGATTGAGCCCTGGAACTGATGGAAGGATAAGTGGAAGGACAAGAGTTAGCAACCCAAAAGACACTGCTGCAAAATGTAATTGCTAAAATATCAAAGTCAAAATATTATCCAAATTTAAACTATTTGGCCAGCAATGGAAAGGAATCACACAGGATCATATTTTTGCAGTCCATTAAGTGTGTTGATGACAAATCAGATAAAGGAATACTGGGGAAATTAATATAAAGCAGTGTGTATAAAGGGACATTACATTTGGTAATCTAATGCAGGTTTTAAAGATCAAGTCAGGGTCTGCTGCAGTTTTTAGTTTTGGATATGTTTTTTATGGATTTTAACTGAATTTTTAAAATACCAATGATATTTAATTCCATTTTAATGTTTGCATATTTGTGGATTTTAAACTGTACTGAAATGTTTTTAATCTAAGCCAACTTGAGTCTTCTGGGGAGAGAAAAAGCAGGGTATAAATAAACATAATAATGTGTTGTGGAAGGCTTTCATGGCCAGAATCACTGAGTTGCTGTGAGTTTTCTGGGCTGTATGGCCATGTTCCAGAAGCATTCTCTCCTGACATTTTCCCCACATCTATGGCAGGCAACCTCAGAGGAACAAAATCTGGCTACCAGTACCCTCTAAAATAACCCTCTAAAATCAGAACAATAAATAAAGAGCAACACTAAAAAAGGGGGGAATTCCTGACATGAAGCAATCAGGGCCAGTTAACCGCTCCCAACAAAGGATTCCTGGGCAGCAACTAGTTCGGCTTCGAAGCTGCAAGGCCATTAAATACTCATCAAGATGACCAATTGCAACATTCACACTTACCTCAAGCAGACATGAGTTCTTTTTCCCACCCTGGACATTCCACAGATATACAAACCCCACTTGCCTAGTTACAAACAGACCTCACAGCCTCTTGAGGATGCCTGCCATAGATGTGGGTGAAACATCAGGTGAGAATGCTTCACCAAGCACCAAAGAGCATTCTGAACTCCACCAATAATAGAACTGAACCAAACTTGGCATACAGGACTTCCATGACTAACAGAAAATACTGGAGAGGGGGTTGGGAAAAATAGACCCTGACATTTGGGAATTGCAGTTTACCAAGCACCAAAGAACATTCTGAGCTCCACCAACAATAGAATTGAACCAAGCTTGGCATATAGGACTTCCATTACCAAATACTAGAGGGGTTTGGGGGAGGCATGTACAAAAGATGACATTTGCAGTACCTTTTGACCAGGCCTCCTTGCTGCCCTGAGAGGGGTCCAGGCTCAGCTGCAGGGAAGGAAAGGGAAAGCGAAAGAGCCTGGCTGGCTGCCTCCTGGCAGCACGTGGAGGGAGGACTTCCCTCTCGCCTAGTGGGCGGGGCCTGCGCTTCTCCATTAGAAGGCTGTTGAGGGCGCATGGGGCCTGCAGGAGGAGGCGTGGCCTAAGGACAGAACAGCGCCCCCTGGCAAAAAAAGTATTCCGCGACCGCTTACTTCGAGTAATGGACGGGCCGGCCCTGCTCATTACATTAATATCCTGCTAAAGGCAACTACACTGGAAATCTTTCTTGCGCTGAATCCATACTACTGCAGTTCCAAAATACAAGAATGAATATTGGAAGAAAGCAAAATAATATGAATGCATGCTATTTCAGTGAAAAAGTACTGTAACTATTTGTTTCATTTCTGTAGATTAATCGAGTAAAACTGCCAATATTAAAAAGACACTGCATTTACATCCTGACATATCCTCATGGGTGAGATAGGTATGAAAAGTCAAGTACTAAATAAGATTCTAATTACAAGGGAATGTATCAAATTAGCATTTTAACCCACATCCTATTTAATCTGTATTTCAACAGTGAGCTAGCTTTTCTGAAAAGGATTTTAAGCAGCCAATACTCAAGATGAACTGTCTAAATTACTAGCACAATCTAGGGAAAAATGTTATAACTGAAAGAAATTATATCATGTTATTATTAACTTTTTTGTAATTATCACAGATTGATTTTTATTTTTTCTCGATTTGAATTACTAATTTCTTTTCACAATAATTTTTATCTCAGAACAGTAATCTGTATCTGGGTTGCTGTGAGTTTTCCGGGCTGTATGGCCATTTTCCAGAAGCATTCTCTCTTGACCTTTAACCCACATCTATGGCAGACATCGTCAGAGGCTGTAAGGTCTCACAACCTCTAAGGATGCCTGCCATACATGTGGGTGAAACGTCAGGAGAGAATGCTTCTGGAACATGGCCATACAGCCTGGAAAACTCACAGCAACCCAGTGATTCTGGCCATGAAAGCCTTCAACAACCATCTGTATCACTGACCTTTTTAATGGATAAGTGAACTATCCATCTTGAGTAGCAGGTGATAGAGAAATTTGTCACAAAACATTTAAATAGTTTCTATACCTTGATTTCATATTATGGGTAAGAATGACAACCTTTGAATTATTTATACCTCAAGAGAACGCTAAGAGAAGATAATCAGCATTAACAAACCCAAGCCTACTTCTTTACATATGCTTACACACTTGTTTAGGAATACGTTCTATTGAACACAACAAAACTTCCTTCTGAGAAGAAAAGTAACTGAGTATATTGCAATATGTTATTTGTAACATTTCTGTCATGTAATTTTATGCAAATAATTAAAATAGTTTGGCAAATAAAGATATGAAAACTCGTTTTTAAACTACATTTTCTCTTGAAGTCTACATCTAAACACAGCCTTTGAAAATGATTGATTTGAAAAATTAGTAGAATTTGTATCAATGTACAATGTTTGATGAAGCCATGAAAAATAAATGAACACAGGTTTTAAAAATGGAAGAATTAATTCATTTGATCTAGTTCAGATTATGTCAATGTTGTACTTAAGCATTATTCTTGGTATCCTTATAAACTGAAATTATTTCACAGTTTAACTCCTGAAATAATCTTAGTCCATCAATGTAAACTGGAATTCTAATGCATTGTCACAGTCACTGAGTGATCAATAATGAAGTATTGCTTGCTGGAAAGCTGGCTTTGTTTGATTAAGGGAGAAATAATAGCATGATCTAATCAAGGTCTGACAGCACTAGTCTTTGGTAATGAGGGTAATCATCATCATCAACATCACCACACATAATAATAATAATAATAATAATAATAATAATAATAATAATAATAAATCACATAGTCCTGAACATTTGGGAAGTGTTCGACTTGTGATTTTGTGATACGAAATCCAGCATATATATTTCGTTTGCTGTGCCATACTGTGTTTTTGTGTCAGTAAAATAATAATTATAATAACAATAATAACAACAACAATAATAACAAGCTTTATTTGCATCCTACCCCCCTCTCCCCAAAGAGCCTGGGGTAGCTTACAACAATAAACAAATACAATAAATAATATATCACAGACATTAATCACAAAGGTGCGCTCTACAACATACCTGCTCAATTCAGTGGAATCCTAACCTACATTGCAATTGTCTTGCCAGTCAAAACGTTTATAGGAATATTGTTGAAATATTGTTTGCCTAGATTTTGTGGAAACCCTGACATGTCAAGTCAAATTATTTTAGGAAATTCAATTCCTATTGCTTTTAGATAAGTCTTTATATATTTCTTTAAATGTGTATTCAGATCTGTTTCTTATTATTAACCACCACTAGAGGTCTCCACAGTACAAATGTCACAAAATGTCCATATGAGCAATGCCCTCACTATTCACTCTAAGTGATTTATAGTGTAGTCCAAGGAAAAAGCACCCATTCATCTGTATTGATTTCTGCTCTGTTTCAGGAATAAACTTTTTGAATATGTTGTAGCCTATTACCATAAGAAGCTGATCCATTAGATAGATATCTTCAGTTTCAACTTGTACTGTAATTTATTAATGAATGAGAAATTTATTCTGAGCATCCAGTTGCATAGGCAATACGTTCTTAGAAAAATATTTACTACCCTGATCCTGCCCTATTACCTTGAGAAGTCATCCCACCATATCAGTGGAATGGATATCCAAGAAAATGTACATAGTACAAATTACAACTTTATTATTCTTGATATCATGTCTATGCAAATGTTTAGACCTGTTCCATACAAATGATATTTTGTTGTGACCTATCGTAGTTATCTGATAGGTTAATTATTCAAAATTGTATCATCCTAAATCAGGTAACCTCCTGCCCTTCCCTGAAGCATGGCAGTTTCAGGAAAGAAACATTAATGATAGGTGATGAATTTTGGCACTGCTAGCACCAGACTATGTTGGCAACCTGGAGCCTACTTTCAGACACTTTGACTAAATAAGTAAATTGATCTTACGTGAAGCTGGAAATCTTATTGGCTTCTCAAGGGACTGGTAGATCCAAAAGTCAGTCTTCAAAGTCAAGGCGCTTTCTGACTGTGAGGTTTACAGTGAAAGGAGGGCTACTTGAGGTTCTGCGATATATGGAACAGTTTCCAGACAGGTCTGTTTGGTTTTTCTGGTTCTTATACACACCCCCTTTGATGACAATGATAATATACAGTGTGACACAGCTAAAGGGAGAATGGGAGAGGGTAATGCTCTTAAATTCAGAAAAAGATTTTAAATCTTTTATATCTATTATGTCATTTTTTTAAATGACATAATAGATATAAAAAGTAAGAATGGGGAGGGAAGTTCTCTCTCTCTCTCTACTGTATTTACTTGAAACATAAAAACAAGGGGGTTGCTGGTCTTTTTCATTTTTTACTTTTTGGAGAAAGTAAATTTTATACTTCATCAGCAGATCTAGAAGTAATTCAATTGTTTAAATGTTAGCTATTTATTATTAAAGCAAATGACAGGAACAAATTTTTCCCAATTTGTGGGACCTAAGATATTCACCTGCTTGTAGAATATTCCCAGACTATTATCTCTGAGAACAATACTGAACAAAAAGGTGTAAGAGAGGTACATGATTTTCAATGTGTGGTATTAAGAATAAGAAATATAATTGGAGTAAGCAAGGTTTGTTTTGTAGCTTTAATAGCCACTTGCTTTTAATTATCTGAGTGACTCGAGGAACAGAGAAACGTGAACTACAAAACAAAACAATCTTGGCTTTGGCAACCAACCTCTAATCAACACACCATCCTCATGAACTGCTTTGTTTCTACATTTCCTGTTGTTGCTGTTGCTGCTGCTGCTGCTGTTGTTAATGAGCACTGTTAGACATTCTGAAGGGGTTCCCCTAATTGAAATATGTTGTAGTTGATAGAATAAAGTTTATAGATTGTGAAGGATAAAGAAACATACTAACTGAACTTCTGTAGCTGAACTTGGGAATAGTTGGTTGGGCTCTAAAAGTAAGAGCCCTTCCACACAGCCCTATATTCCAGAATATCAAGGTAGAAAATCCCACATTATCTGAGTGTGGACTCAGATAATCCAGTTCAAAGCAGATATTGTGGGATAAGGCTGTGTTGAAGGCTCCTAAGACAAGCTTATGAGTGGAGGCCTAGTCACAAGGGGAATTTCCACACAGCCCTATATCCCAGAATATCAAGGCAGAAAATCACACAATATCTGCTTTGAACTGGGTTATCTGAGTCCATACTCAGATAATGTGGGATTTTCTGCCTTCATATTCTGGGATATAGCGCTGTGGGGAAGGGCCCAAAGTGTTTCCAAGGAACTCACTTGCACTGTTATCTTTTGTGTCACATCTCATAACTTTGAAGATAGCATCTTCATTTCGTCCCTATTTTGTCCCTAGGGCATCCTGTCATATGCATTTGCTGACTTGGAACATATTTAATTTATTAGGAACAACCTTCAGTGCTATACAAAGCCTGGGAATTGGAATGGAGCACTATCGATATGCCAGATGCCACTCAGTTTTATTTCTCTGTTGCATAGGTGTGGCTTTGCCAGATGCAGTAGTGGACTGAGTGACAGCTAATCAACTAAGGCTGAACATGGAAGAAAAGAAGACCTGTGTGTAGGCAGCTCCCAGAACCAGGACTTCCTGCGAATCCATGGCGATATGGGATTTTGCTGCAGAGCAACAGTTATCAGTGGTACAGAGGCAAGGTGAAGGCAGAATTCCCTGAAGAAGTCTGCTCCAGCATGAAATTGTCATTCATTCCTTGAATTTTGAGCATGTAAAAGCATGAGACATGGAAAGTTGTTCACAGATAGAACTCAGATATGCCATATTCATATCCCCTTGGTAATGTTGACTGTGCCTTTGTTTGAATGCCTAAATTGTATTTCTAAATACTCAACTGAAGTTGTAAGTTATTGCGGTGCTAGAAATCTGAGGACTGAAGGGACATTTCAAGGAGGAGAGGGCAAAATTCTTGTTTGGGGGTCACTGCCCCCACAGTTACATCTCTCTAATGGGAAGAATTAAAATTTGCTTCTGGAGTTAGTCCACCTATTTGTAGGATTTTTACTTAGGATTGACAAAGTAATTTTCTACTTTATTCATTGCACAACACGGCAATTCTATTAAACTATTTTGTTTGCAGGCAGTATATTTCTTAGTACATATGGTTGGACAGCAACTGGTTTGTGATTACCATTGTCATTCTGTCTTCCCTATGAAATTATCTAAAACACTGGAAACATAATGTTTCCAGTGTTTAGGATGGCCTAAACATTGATGAAGGCTAGTGAGGAAAACCAAATTGTGTTTATGTGGAAATCTATTATTGTATCAACATTCAGAAATAATAATAATAGTAATAGTAATAATAATAATAATAATAATCTTCATTTATACCCTGCCACATCTCCCCAAAGGGGACTCGGGGCAGCTAACATGAGGCCAAGCCCAAAAATAATTCAGCAAAGTAGGATACAAAACAACAGAAAAATTACATCACAACAAAATACATAAAGTAACAAAATAAAATAAACAAATAACATAAAAGTCAAACACAAAGGGCGGGCCAAATGTACAAGATAAAATGTTAAAACCCTGGATGAGATAGGAATAGAAAAAGTGTATTTGTGAAGGAGGAGCCCAAGAAGGAGGAGCAGTGGGAGCCAAGGAGAACGATTTCATGTACCCAAGCCTACTTTCATCTGTTCAGAGTAACGAACTCCACACATTTGTGAGACTAAACTAGTAGGCAAAGGGAACATCAACAAAAAACAGCAACAACCAGGTGTATATTTTAAATGCAACCACAAGGTATTTTGCTACCTGAGAGAGAACTCAAAAGTCATGACCTGATAAAATGTGTTGTATCATTAAAGACACCAGTTTTCCTCGCTTTCATGTCTTTCTCCCCTTTCCCCAAGCCTGAAGCTACCTGAAGCCTGAAGCTGCCTGAAGCCTGAAGCTGCCTGAAGGTGGTAATTTTGCCTTTCTACATGTATATTGACATATTTTGTTTCCTAGCCATGAGGCTCCAAATATTTTCCTAAAAATATTTTTCAAATAGCTAAGAAGCTTAGTATCTTAAATATGTACTACCAGTTGCAAAGTATGCATTACCTTTGAACAAAAACCCTGCATTTAAATAATTAAGACAAAATATCTTCCCTAAATCCTCTTTTGCCAGGACTTGGCATCTTTTTTCAGTGGGAAGATGAAGAAACCGGTCCACAACATAGACATTTTCTTGGAACTAGAAATTCTTAATCCTTTGAAGGTAGATAATTTACACTCACTCGGCAAAGTGTCTCCAAACCTGTCCAAAGGTTAATGTAGACAATAGTGTGAAATATGTTTCTTACCTCTCACTGTATCAATTTTATCTTAATCGAGTTGCATAGCCCCAGGGAAGAGATTATTCCGATATCATTTCTTTATTAAGCCTGTTTCTATGACTAATATGTGATGGCTTATGATTTCCCAGGTAACATGAAGCAAGGGTGAGGAGTTTTAGAAATTGATGACCCAATCAAAAAAGGAGGCCTGTGATGAATCTACACCATAGAATCAATGCAGTTTGACACCACCACTCAATGAAACCACTTTAACTTCCATAGCATTGAAGTTGTAATTTTACAAGATCTTTACCTTGCTTTGCCAAAGAGTTCTGATGCTTCATCAAACTACAACTCCCAGAATTCTACAGCATTGAGCCATGGCAGTTAAAATGGTATCAGGCTGTATTAATTTTATAGTGTAGATGCACCTTTGGTCACCGCTTCAGGAAAACTAATTAAAAGACTTATTTTTGTTGAAAAGGATAATTTAAGTCTGGATACTGGTTCTGCAGAAACATTTCTGTCAGATAGAAACCAAAATGGTAGACATTTCTAGGCATTGCAGGTGGAGCATCACTTATCCTGAAGTTTGAAATACTCCAAAACCTGAAAGTTTCCATTTGGATCACACTTGTCTGTGATTTTATGTGGCCCAGGAAGCTTCCAATGCCAGGGCAACACAGTTACATCTATACAGTTTTACAATTACAAATGGTCCTTTGAATGCAGTCATAAAGCTGATGTGGACCTCTGTGAAAATGAGTTTGACATCCCTGACATGGGTTACTGAGATAGTGACATCTTTACTTTCACATAGTCCTGGGTACACAAACTTTGTTTCATGTGCAAAATTATTTAAAATATTGTGAAAAATTGCTTTCATGCTATGTGAATAAGGTGTCTATGAAGCGTAAATGAATTTTATGTTTAGACTTGAGTCCTATCTTCAAGAAATCTCATTATGTACCTGTGCGCCAATACAAGTATTCCAAAATAAGAAAAAATCCAAAATCCAAAACAATTGTGTTTTCAAGCAATTTGGGTAAGGCACAGTCAACCTGTGTAGGAAATTATTATCTTAATTTTCTTAACATTGCTGAATCCATATTTATCTCCCACCTGTGTTCATTGATATTTCTCCTTTCTCCCCGCCCCACCCCCAACTCCAGGAACAAATATTACTTTAATTGATCATTTGTGGAGAGGGTATGATTCAGCTCAGTTTTTTGTACTTTTCCTTTCCTTTTACTCTATCAGTCTTCCCCATTTCAAATCCCACTTCTTTATTTTGCCCATTGTGTATTTGGTTCTCCTTTTGAGGATATAGTCCTGCAGCATGAAATCCACTAAATATTTATACAATTTTTAAACTTCCCACTTTATATGCTATTTCCACTCCAACGCCGCAGTTGCTTGGGCAGCGACTCTCATCTATTTTATAATTTTTGCCCAATATTTAATGTTTTGTTCCCATCTACTTTCTGGATGTAGAATTCTTTTTTATTCAACTCCAATTTATGCCCTATTAATTCTTCCATTTCCTTTTTTGTCTTGTTATAAATTTTTTTGTACTTTGTAGCATTCCTGCCACATCTGCATATAGGAACCAATTTCTCCACGTCTGTGCCAATATAATTTTGTGGTTGATTTAGTTATGAGATCTAATTTAATTGAGGTTCTATACAATTCTAAAATGTGATCAAAATCTGTTTCTAAACCTTCTTTTCCCTCCAGTCTATAATCC